GAGAAGCTCAGAGAGGCCAAGGGCTCGGGGCAGCCGTGGTGCCGCCTCTGGCCGTTTGGTCTGAACTGCCCTGTGGGCTGCACACAGGTCCCATGTCCTGTGTCCTGTCCCCTGCAGACCTACCGCCTCCTGAACCCCTTGCTGTTTGTGATAACACAGAGCCACTCTGTGTCCTAAGTCACAGGCAGCCTGTCATCGCGGCTAACTGGAATGATGCTTGCTCGCCAGGGGTTCACACTTCTGAGTGTGCGCTGCCGTCCGATTTTGTTGTTTTCTCCTGGCTTTGGAGAGGGCTTGGCTCTCAGCAAAGGAGATGCGGAGTGAGCCACTCCCATCTTTGCCCTGGGGTTTTGATGCCTTGGGATGCCCAGGGTGTCCCTGGGAGTGTCTGTGCTGTTCAGGGCACCTGCTGAGGCCTGCATCAGCTTTCCTGAGGCAGAATCTCACACCTTTTGGGGGTTGCTGGCTCCTTTGACAACCTGAGAAAAATTGTGGTCCCTTTCCCAGAAATCTGCAAAGACACACAAGAATAATACATGCCCTTGAGGGATTTAAATACCCTCTGACACCTATTTCAGGATTTTCCAGGCGTTCCTAGAGCTTGGATTGAGACCTATATTATGGGGTGCTGTCTGCCTGTTCTGCAATTTCCAGAGCTCCAAAATGTGGATGCTTACATTATGTTTGGATAGCTGGGTGTAGCCATGCCTGAAGGAGGCTTCTTTTTTGGAGACTGATTCCATAAAAGGATTAGGTTGAGATTGGCTGAGCCCCATTGAGTGAAAATGATGTACTGTTTATCCACCAATCAACTTCTGCACAAATAGATGCAGCAAGCAACGAGTACATACAGTGTGGGTCTACATATTACGCTACAATAACCTTCACTGAGAGCCAGGCACTCTGTTATGGGCTGAGCAGGCATTATCCTGTTAGTCCTCATAATCCCCCAGTCGACCCTGTAGGGGATTAGAGTGGTGGGAAAAACTATAGGGAAAGGATGCAAACCTTCTGAAAGGTCAGAAGGTTTTGTAGAGCCCCAGGGAAGAGTAGCTGAAGGCAGCTGTTCTATAACCCTGAGGCAAAGGGCAAGGAGTAGGTACAAGGAAGTGTGGGGAAATTTATCTTAAAAGGCTTGTTTACTTATGTTGACTAGGCACTGACCTTTGATCATGCACGTGTGAGGTTCTCCGAAAGGGGAACAATAATTTTTTTTTTTTTTTTTTTTGAGATAGAGTCTCACTCTGTCACCCAGGCTAAAGTGCAGTGTCACTATCTCAGCTCACTGCAACCTCTGCCACCCCGGGATTCAAGCAATTCTTCTGCCTCGTCCTCACGAGTAGCTGGGATTACAGGGGCCTGCCACCACTCCTGGCTAATTTTTGTACTTTTGGTAGAGACAGGATTTCACCATCTTGGCCAGGCTGGTCTTGAACTCCTGACCTTGTGATCCACCTGCCTTGGCCTCCCAAAGTGCTGGGATTACAGGCGTGAGCCACCACACCTGGCCACAATAATTGTTAATTACCTGCAGGTCGCGTTGGCTCCAGGTTTTCCGTATTGTGCCTTCACTGAATAAAAGCAAGCAGCTCCAGCTTCTTAGGGCTGCTCTCTAGCCACTAGAGCCAGGCAGTCACCTAGCTGCTCTTACACTGCGTACCTGTGTCTGAGTACTCATTTCATTAATTTCCCAGGGTCTATGGGACAGATCTGGCACGACCCTACAGTATAGTGCTGTTATGAGCTCCCTGAGGCACAGAGAAGTTAAATAACTTGCTCAAGGGCTCAAGGTCACACAGCAGGTGGTGAAAGTGGCCTTTGACCCCAAGCAATCTGACTCTGGGGCCATTCGATAGTCTAAGAAATTGGAGGCCCAGGCCGGGCGCGGTGGCTCAAGCCTGTAATTCCAGCACTTTGGGAGGCCGAGACAGGCGGATCACGAGGTCAGGAGATCGAGACCATCCTGGCTAACCCGGTGAAACCCCATCTCTACTAAAAAATACAAAAAACAAGCCGGGCAAGGTGGCGGGCACCTGTAGTCTGAGCTACTCGGGAGGCTGAGGCAGGAGAATGGTGTAAACCCGGGAGGCGGAGCTTGTAGTGAGCTGAGATCCAGCCACTGCACTCCAGCCTGGGCGACAGAGCGAGACTCCGTCTCAAAAAAAAAAAAAAAAAAAAAAAAAAGAAATTGGAGGCCCAGCATGATGGCTCATGCTTATAATCCCAGCACTTTGGGATGCTGAGGCAGGAAGATCACCTGAGGTGAGGAGTTCAAGACCAGCCTGGCCAACATGGTGAAACTCTGTCGCTACTAAAAATACAAAAATTATTTTGTATTTTTTGTATTTGGGCGTGGTGGCTGGCACCTGTGGTCCCAGCTACTTGGGAGGCTGAGGTACAAGAATCGCTTGAACCCAGGAGGCAGAGGTTGCAGTGAGCCGAGATCATGCCATTGCACTCCAGCCTGGGTGACAGAGCGAGACCCTGTCTCAAAAAAAAAAAAAAAAAAAGAAAAAAAAAAGAAAGAATAGAATAGAATAGAATAGAATAGAATAGAACAAAAAAAGAATAGAAAAGAAATTGGGCCGGGCGCGGTGGCTCAAGCCTCTAATCCCAGCACTTTGGGAGGCCGAGACGGGCGAATCATGAGGTCAGGAGATCGAGACCATCCTGGCTAACATGGTGAAACCCCGTCTCTACTAAAAAATACAAAAACTAGCCGGGCGAGGTGGCGGGCGCCTGTAGTCCCAGCTACTTGGGAGGCTGAGGCAGGAGAATGGCGTAAACCCGGGAGGTGGAGCTTGCAGTGAGCTGAGATCTGGCCACAGCACTCCAGCCTGGACGACAGAGCCAGACTCCGTCTCAAAAAAAAAAAAAAAAAAAAAAAAAGAAATTGGTTGAGTGTCCCCCATCCTGTTCTGGGACTTGAGTCTATTTCCCGCTGAGGCCATTGGATCCTGCTGGGGCCCAGGCAAGAAGAGCGGGCTCTGAGCAAACCCTGCAATTGAATTTTTCTAGAAAGCCTTCATCACATGTTGGAGTCTAAGGTCCCCATCTAGGAGTTCTCAACAGACTGTATCTTGAAGTGGCATTTGCCTGGCCCGGCAGGGAGACAGGACTCTGTTCTCAGACAGATTTGGGTGGTAACGTGACCTCATTTGACTCCCAGGCTGGCAGGGCCTGGGAAATGTCAGTTTACGCTTGTTTCCAGAGTTTTAAAGGAGGTTTCCTTTGCCTCTCGTATACTGCAAAATGCCTGCTGGGAGTGGTGCTTTTGCTTCTTGCTTCCTGGTTGCTGAGTCTCCCTTTAAGTTCCGAGTCTCTCTCTAAGAGGCCCTTTGGTGTGGGAAGGGGCTTAGAACCCTGGCTTTGTCATGAGTCCCTTTCCTGAAAATGGCTCCCGTGCAAGGCTGTTCCACTTCCACATTCTCAAACACCGTCCCGCCCACGGATCCCCAGCCCACCCCAACAGGCCTGTCCAACTTGAGGATGGAGGTGACAGCCATCATGGAGTCTGATGCCCTCACATTTTTTTTTTTTTTGAGAGAGAGTCTCACTCTGTTGCCCAGGCTGACGTACAGTGGTATGGTCATGGCTCACGGCTCACAGCAGTCTCAACTTCCCAGGCTCAAGAGATCCTCCTGCCTCAGCTTCCTGAATAGCTGTGACTACAGGAGCACACCACCAGCCGGGCTAATTTTTTAATTTTTTTGTAGAGACGGGGGTCTTGCTATGTTGCCCAGGCTGGTGTCGGACTCCTAGGCTCAGGTGATCCTCCCACCTTGGCCTCCCAAAGTGCTGGGATTACAGGTGTGAGCCACTGCACCCTACTCCCTCACTCTTGCAGATGGGAAACCAAGGATGAAGGAGAGGAGAATCCCTTGCCCAAGACCTCAGAGCTAAAATTCCCAGCAGCTGCGGTTTGTATTCACCTGGGGCTGGCAGCGTCGGGACCACCAGGAGGCCAGGTGGAAATGCTCACCCCTGGGGTGCACCCCAGACTTGCTGCATTGGAAGCCGTGCCACAACCAGCCCTCCAGGTGACCGAGGCTAACACAAGTTTGAGAACTACTTCCCTGGCCCTTGCTTTCTCAGCTGGGACTGAAGTTCTGCACAGGTAGGACCCAGTGACAAAGTTTTACCTCCCAACTGCTCCATGCACCTTGGTCCCCACAAAAGCCTTCCTCACACACAAGTAAACTCTGGAAGCGCAGGATAGGAAAGAGAGCTAGAAGCAGACACTGTGGTTATGAAAATCTTCACATGATAGACAATGCAGCTCAAAGTGAAGAAACTGGCTTGCTCTTTCAGCACAAATAAGACGCCAACTGGCCAAAAACATTAGTACACAAGCAAAAGAAAACCTAGGCCAGGCACGGGGGCTCATGCCTGTAATCCCAGCACTTTGGGAGGCCGAGGTGGGTGGATCACCTGAGGTCAGGAGTTCAAGACCAGCCTGTCCAACATGGTGAAAACCCATCTCTACTAAAAATACAAAAAATTAGCTGGGTGTGGCGGCGGGCACCTGTAATCCCAGCTACCCGGGAGGCTGAGACAGGAGAATTGCTTGAACCCAGGAGGCGGAGGTTGCAGTAAGCCGAGATCGCGCCATCGCACTCCAGCCTGGGTAACAGAGCAAGACTCTGTCTCAAACAATAACAACAACAACAATAAAAATAAAAAACAGAAGAGAAAAAAAAACCTAGGCCGGGCATAGTGACTTATGTCTGCAATCCCAGCATTTTGGGAGGCCGAGGCAGGCGGATCACCTGAGGTCAGGAGATCGAGACCATCCTGGCTAACACAGTGAACCCGTCTCTACTAAAAAAAAAAATACAAAAAAAATTAGCCAGACGTGGTAGCGGGTGTCTGTAGTCCCAGCTACTCCGGAGGCTGAGGCAGGAGAATGGTGTGAACCTGGGAGGCGGAGCTTGCAGTGAGCCCAGATGGCGCCACTGCACTCCAGCCTGGGTGACAGAGCGAGACTCCGCCTCAAAAAAAAAAAAAAAAAAAGAAGAAAATCTAAGTGAAAACTGAAGCCAGCTGGAAAGCAGCTTCTACTTATCCAGATGAAGCCAGCAGAAGTAACAAGGGAGCCTTCGGTGACCTGGGCCACCGTTCCCACTGGCCTGGTGCTGGCCGGGGGGCTGCAGGATTTTAAGGCCCTGCCGGCCTGAGGCCCCGTCTCCTCCTTGTATCTTATCCTCCCATGAGAAGGCAGTGAGACAGATGTCTTCACAGCGCCCCTGCGCCCACTCACCCACCCATCCGCTCATCTATCCATCCAACAAGCTGTTTTTAGGCACCTGCTGTGTGCCAAGTCCCTGGGGCTGGAACCCAGATGTGGGACAAAGGTACAGACCCTAAGCTGAGGCCTGTGGAGAGAGCGGCAGGCCCTATGGGGCAGGGGTCCTGGCAGGTGTGCTGGGGTCACCCCCATTGTGCCCACTTGCTGGGCTGGAGCTCATACAGGCAGGTGGCCCAGCCCAGGCTGCGCACGTCCTCACAGTGAGGTGGTGGCCAGGCTGGCACAGGGCGCTTTCTGCTCAGGAAGGGGGTCCCGCCGGTGGGCGCTGTGTCCTTTCTGCTCTTCCTAGGTGAGGAGTGGACCACAAAGGAGAGCACAGGGTGGCTTCAGCGAGGGTGGCTGGACACTGGGATGGTCAGCCTGGAGGTCACTTGGCTGCTTCAGCCCCCTGGGCACCCTCCCCCACTCCCACTGGCCCAGGTGCCCTGGGGTCTTCACCCCCACCCCCGCATACTACAACACTGCTCTCTCCTCTCCCTGGGGCGCTTCACTCCCTGTCTGTGCCCTGGTTGAAGGCTGAACCATGCCTGGAGCACTGCTCTGGCCAAGAAATGTTTGTGGAATATCTGACCAAAAGGATGCCACAGCAGCCCTGGAGGTCAGGACCAAGTAGCATGTTTATGGTGCAGATGAGACACTGGGACTCAGAGAGGCCACAGAACTTGCCAAGGGCACTCGGTGGCTGAGGAAGGGGCCGGGTCCCTCCCACTCCAGACTGGCTCTCATTTGGGTGCAAGGGACCTGTGGTGACGATGGCTGCACAGGTCTCTGTCCTCATATTAACATCCAGCCTTGCAGATGGGGTGTCTGTGGTGGGCCTGGCATGGGCAGACCTCCGATCTCCCTGGTGCTAACTGCTGAGTTCATCTCTGGGGTTAGCAGGGTTAACTGCGTCCCCGTCACAACGTCTCAATGCTCCCACAGCTGTGGGGGCCACAGTGGAGGGGGCCATCCCTTTCTGAGCCCAAGCAGGGCTCTGGGCAGAAGTCCCAGTGTCTCTCAGTGTCTCTGATGTCCTTCCTTCCAGGCGGGGGTTTCAGGTCTGCTAGTGGTGGCTCTTCAGACCCTTACTCCGCGTCAGCAGTTCCCGGGACACCATTGCCACCTCCTACCCTAAGGGTCCCTGCTCCAGGTTCTATCCCACTGAGGAGAGTCTTCCCTGCAGGAAGCAGGGACCTGAGCTCTCTGCTCCACTCCTGGCCCAGGCATAATGCCAGGGCCTGACCTTCATGGGGCCTTGTGGCTCCTGGCAGGGATTGAGTAGATGGGGCTGGGACAGGCAGACGCCTGTGGCCTGTGTGTGTGGCAGGCCCTGTGTGTGGGACCCATGGGGACAGACAGGCTCTCTGGGGTGAATTCCCACATCCTGAATAGACCCGAGCCTAGACACCATCAGAGTGCCATCCGGCACCATCTCAGGGTTCCCCGAACCCTCTGGGGGCCGTGGAACCACACAGTTGAGCTGTGATGATGCCAGAACCCCAACCTTCACCTTGGTTAGCTGCAGGGACCAGCCTCAGACCTGTTCTGGGACGCCTCGCCGTGACTGGGGCTTTCTGGACTCTACTTCTGGCTTCTGTCTACCTTGTCCTGTCCTTCTTCCCAGTGGTGACCGTGTGGGGGAGGGTCCACAGCCCACCCCAACCAGGGAGGGTTTTCTCCCTTCCTCCTTCCTCTCCTGCCAACAGGGAGCGTGGGCCAGCCGAGGAGCCTTTCCGGGGTGGGAGGAACAGCAGCGTGAGTGCATTTTGGAAAGCAGGAGCCTTCTGCAGGCCGAGGGGCTTGTCCCCGAAGTCCTGGGTCTGCCCTGCACAGCTGCAGAGTTGAGCCCCTGCTTACTAGTGGTTGCTGCACTCATGAACTGGAGCACCTAGCAGGCTCTGGGCCAGGCTCGGGTCCCCTGGGTGTGCCCACCAGCTGGCTTCTCTGAGCCCTGGCTTTGAGGCCACACGGGGCTGTGGCAGCTGCACTGAGGGAGAAGTGGCTGCTGGAGCCACTGGGGATTTCACTCCAGCTGCTACAGAAGACCCATCAGCCATGTCTCTGCCCAGAGGCCTCTGCCAGCAGGGGGTCCCAGGCTGGGGGAGGTTGACAGCTGCTGCCTGCTGCTCCCCACCCAGGCAGCAGCTCTGAGCCACAGAAAGAGCCGGGCTGGGACTCTGGGAGCCTCCAAAGGACAGGGTGGGTCTCGGGGCCTCAGAGCAGTTCCAGACGGCTGCAGGAGTGGGAGAAGCAGCAGTTTCTCAAGAAGAACGAGAGGGCCTGGACCACAGCCTCCGCTTCCTCTTCTGGAGAAAAGCCGCAGCTGAGCGACGCTGGCTGATAATTGTGCAGCCTCTGTGCCTGGAGCCTGCAGCAGAGGCCAGGAGTTTCGAACAGGTGACAGCAGGTGGCCCCTGAGGCTCTGGCTGGAAAGTGGGGTTGGGAGAGGAGGTTGGATAGTTGAGGAAAAGAGCTTAGATTCTTGATGCCACTGAACTTGTCTGAACTGGAGCACTTCTGAGAATGAAAGTGAGCTGTGTTAATTATCACACAGGGACAACGGATGTAAACTGGGACTCTTCAGGGCACATCGAGATGTGTATTACCCTACTTACTACCACTTCCTAGCTGCGTGGATTTGGGCAAGTTACATAACCTCTCTGAATTCTGGTTTCTGCATAAAAAAGGCCAACATCATGTGCCTGCCTCCCAGGGCTGCGGGAGGGATGGAAGAAGTGAATTACCTGAGTTCCCGAAACAGCCCTTGGCACAGTGCCGGTGGGGTGGGGGGCTCTCCATGCTTGTTCTTTTCCTCTGAGAGTGGTTGGTTCTGTCCCTGGAGGTGAGCAAGGGCCTGCCGGCCAGCGTTCTGCAGTGTGAGGGCCTCAGCAGGGCATATGTGCAGCTGCAGAGCCAGATTCCAGTCCTGCCTGTGCCCTCCAGAAGGGTGACAAGTGAGTGTGGGAGAGTCGGGCCTTCCTGTACCTAGGGAAGGATGGGCCCGTGATGGGTCCCAGGCTGGCACTCCCTGGTGGACTTGTGCCCTCTCCTATCCCAGGTGGTGGCAATTTGTGCCCATGGAGGGGCACCAGCAGGGCCCAGCCCAGAGAAGCTTTGCTGTCACCGTGGACCTGTCTTTGGCTTCAAGGCCTTGGCATCGGTTCAGAGAAAGTTTGCCTGCTTCTGCCCTCCTGGGGTTACGCTGGGCGAATGCAGAGCCTTCCCTGGGGGTCTGGGAGGGCTGGAAGATGAGCTGGAGGAAGGAGGCTGCTTGCATTTTCTGTGCCTGTTCCCGGGTCCTGAGAAACTGAGCAGAGCCTGTTCCAACCCAGAATGTTTTCAAGAGTTGGGTGTGGGGCCTGGCTCTGCCACTTGTGGTCATTTGAGCTTAGGCAAATCAGAGGTCTCTAAGCCTCAGGTTCCTTGCTGGGAGGCAGGGGCGAGCCACCCTGTCATCTTCCCAGGACATGGGGAAGGGCTGTAGGTAGTGTGGGCCCCACATGGCCTCTGCTCTCCACCTTCAGGCCCTGCACATGTTATTTTCATCTGTTCCCCCACAGCCCTGGGAGCCCCTGGAGGCACAGCCTGCGACCCTGAGGGATAAGCTCCATCTCCAGAAGGAACGAGTGGATGAGGTCAGAGCCCAGCAGTGACCTGTCTGTGCTGGGGTCCATCCCCACCAACAAGGGCAGAGCTGCTGCAGCAGGTGGAACGGACATGCCTCCTGCCAGATGCGCTGGCTGGATCAGCAACTCTCCAAGGTGGCCTCATGCTGTGGACATTACCCCAGGTGCCTCAACTTCTGGCTACTTTGTCTCCTTTCCACTCCTCATCCCCAGAGAAGGTTCTTCTGGCCAGAAGGATGGCCTCTGAAAATGTCAGATCCGGAAGGCATTCGTGCTAATGGTGCTCAGCCCTCAGCAAAGTCACCTGGCCAGTCAACCCCATTAAATGAGGAGCTAAAAGCCCACAGGCCGCAGTTGGGGCTCACAGACAGCCCAGGAGGCAGGAAGTTGGTGTGCTACCACAAGGGTGGGTCCTCAGGGTGGGTGCAGGGTCCCTCTCAGGATTGAGTCACCAGGTGGAGGCCACATGGCTTCCAATCAACCCCTTCTTCACACCTTTGGCTTTGGCACAGGCAGGGTCTTCCCAGCTATACCCTCCTAAGTGAGGTCACAGGTAACACCACACAAGGGGCAGGCCGAGGTGTGTGTTTCACGACTTATGCCACTTCCTCGCTGTGTGGGACCCAAAGGTGACCTAGAGCTGAGAAACCCATGTCTGCAAAAACAAGGCCACTGGAGTTGAGGCAAGAGAGGCCAAAATCCTACCTAGGATGCTGGGGCCAATCAGCCCATTATGGAGCATCCTGAAAAGCAAGGCCACCACAATACCAAAGGACTAGAGGAACTGTCACACACGCCACCCAAACAACCTGCCAACCTTTCTCGCTGACCCCAAATACTGGGATATTATCCAGTGTAAATTTGTAGGCAAAAGAATGAACTCACGTGGTTTTATCATATTTGTATTCAGGGAGATTGACCATTTTCACGTATTTGCAGAGCATGTGTATTTCTTTCCTTCTTTTTTTTTTTTTGGGACGGAGTCTCACTCTGTTGCCCAGGCTGGACTGCAACGGCATGATCTTGGCTCACTGCAATCTCTGCCTCCCGGGTTCAAGTGATTCTCCTGCCTCAGCCTCCCGAGTAGCTGGGACTACAGTCGTGCCTGTACACCACACCTGGCTAATTTTTGTATTTTTAATAGAGACGGGGTTTCACCATGTTGGTCAGGCTAGTCTCGAACTCCTGACCTCATGATCCATCTGCCTCGGCCTCCCAAAGTGCTGGGATCACAGGCGTGAGCCACGGCACCCAGCCGTGGGCATGTGTATTTCTTCTTCTGAGACTAGCCTGTTCACATCCTTGGTTCACCTGCCCACTGGGATGTTTCTGACTGGTTCACAGGTATTTGGTATATGATGGATACTAATCCTTTGTAATATATTTTCTCCTCTTTTCCCCGTCATTTGTCTTTTAATTTTGTTTGTGTTGTCTCATACAAAAAGCTTTAGTTTCACAAGGGCCCACATGTGGCTCTTCCTTTGGCTTCTGGGTTTCGTGTTATGCTCAGAATCTCTTGCACTGAGATGATTCAGCTGCTGCCTCAGACGTTCTGAGAAACAACGGCCACAACACTTGCAGCGGCAGCAAAACATGCTTATTCAAAAGAAAATGTTTATTTTAAAAAGAACTATCACCCCCAGCATTTAGTTAAATATTAATAGAGACGAGTAAAAATTTCAAATGGTATAAGAAGAATAACAGCTTTATAGTCACAGATGGTCAGATGCTGACAAACAAGAAGGAGGGTCTATGTACATTGAGATTCGGTTGTTATGAGAATGCATACGAAGGCTTAAGAAATGGCCTATTTATAGGCTTTGGTGGAGCCATAATCCCCAATTTTCTATTGGCTCCTGATGTCACTTGAGAAGTATGTGAGGCTGAACTGGATCCAATGATGCTGGAGGATTTCGTTTTGGAAGATATCTTTCTACATGTGGCAGACCCCCTGAAATGTGACAAAGAAAAAATCAAAATGTTAAATGGAACCAAAAGTGAATGACCATCTTCCTCTCAACCTGCACAGAGCTACACTACGACTTTCCTGGGCCTAATATGTCCTTGTGCATTTTCTGCCTATGAAGCCCCTAGGTAAGGTAAGTTTCCTTTACTACTTAAGGAATAAAGGACCACTGCCCTTCATATAAATTTGTCCTGGATTTGTCCTTCTGAAATGTGAAGGACTGTTTCTTGATTTTCTGACTTGTGACCAACCCACCGCCCCTCTCTCCACCCACACCTTCGGCAGCCTACAACCAGAGCCCTACAACAAGAGGAGCTGAGGTTCACATGCCCTCATCCATTCCGACCAAATAAAGGAAGTGAAACACCTTGCTGCAGGGCCTCAGCTCCCTGCTGACAGGCACCCCGGAACGACTGGATTTGTACAGTCCAGAGCAAGGCAGCTGTGGGGTGAGCACGTGTGGCGTGGAGCTGGGTGGCCAGGACTGGCAGAGCTGGGCGTCTTCCTGGCCAGCCCCAGGAGGGCTGCAGATGCAGCTTCCTGGGGAGGCTGAGCTGCCTTATCCAAGGGTGTGGCCTGTCTCTGTCAGGGCCGCATCTGCAGCTCCCTGGCTCACCTGCCTACACCCGGAGATCTGCCCGCTCGCCCTCCCACTCGCTGCCTTCTAAAGCCAAGGAAGAAGCCGCCACAGCCGATTCCAAAGTCCTTCCAGCATCTCACTTTCCTTGCAGACCTTAAGATAACAGCTCCCTTCCCACCCCTAAATGAAATAAAAAACAAAACCATGAGGCCGGCATGTTTACAGTGATGACTGTGGGCAGCAGTACCCACAGAAGCCTTTCCTGCTGCTTTTAACCAGGCTGATGTCAGGCCCAACATTAATTCCATGGCACCAGGGCATGCAAGCAGCCTCCCGTCTGAATTGAGGGTATAGGGCCACAGCCTGTGGGTAATGACGTTCTGGGGGAGCTCCATGACTTCAACTCTGGCTCCAGGGCAATTTTCCTGCAGAACTGGCAAAGATCTGCTAAACCGGCAGAGATGCAGCCTGAAGTTTCCCTATGCTGATTTCCTGCTGAGAAATTAAGCCCGGAGCGAAAACCTGCTGTTTATGTTGATTTACAGAATGAATCTGCCAACAGCAGCCTCCATTTCACCTGGGCCATCTATTTACTCCCACTCAGAGAGCCCAGAACACAACTGGTTCATTGTATGTTGTACTGAAGATGTAAAACTCTGAGGGTAGGGTGGGGAGGTGAGGCTGCTGGCAGAGAGCCACATTTATTCTTTCACTGCACAGGGACTCTCAATCCAGGGAGCAGACTGGGTTGGTGGAAAGGAGAGTGGAGCACAAAGAGGCTGCTCCAAAGGTAACACAAAGTCACACAGCGCACTGGCTTTAGCTGGTAGGGCTTAAAAAAGAATCCCATCTTGGCCAGACACAGTGGCTCACGCCCGTCATCCCAGCACTTTGGGAGGCTGAGGTGGGTGGATCACCTGAGGTCAGGAGTTTGAGACCAGCCTGGCCAACATGGTGAAACCCCACCTAAAAATACAAAAATTAGGCCGGGCACAGTGGCTCAAGCTTGTAATCCCAGCACTTTGGGAGACCGAGATGGGCGGATCACGAGGTCAGGAGATCGAGACCATCCTGGCTAACACAGTGAAACCCCGTCTCTACTAAAAAATACAAAAAAAAAAGCTAGCTGGGGCTGAGGCAGGAGAATGGCGTAAACCTGGGAGGCGGAGCTTGCAGTGAGCTGAGATCCGGCCACTGCACTCTAGCCTGGGCAACAGAGTGAGACTCTGTCTCAAAAAAAAAAAAAACCAAATAAAAATAAAAATAAAAATTAGCCCAGCATGGTGGCATGCACCTGTAACCCCAGCTACTTGGGAGGCTGAGGCAGGAGAATAGCTTGAACCCGGGAGGCAGAGGTTGCAGTGAGCTGAGACAGTGCCACTGCACTCCAGCCTGGGTGACAAGAGTGAAACTCTGTAACAACAACAACAACAACAACAACAACAAATAATCCCATCTTAAACACCCAGGCTCACTGAAAACAAGCATGGAAATTGGTACTGGCTTTTGCACGAGTGTGAGCTTTACTGCTTCTTATCAGTTTAGGTTCCAGGTGATGCTGCAAAGTGCTTCACTCTTACAAACAAAAGTTGTGAAAATTAAATAAGGGAGCCAATAGCACTGAACACTGGAATATGGTTTGCTTTGTTCTAATACATAAAAATGAGATGGGAGACCATGTGTGTTTTTTAGGAGTCTCCACAGGCAACATGCAGAAGTGGACGTGCTCCGGGCAGGTGTGGGCAGGCCAGTGTCCGCTTCTATCTTTGAAATTGATACTAGGCAGGGTTGGCCTCCGATAAGCCCTCCCCAGGCCAGGCCTCAGCTTCCTCTTCAAAAACCCAGGGTGTTGAGCCAGATGCCTTTTAAGGTCTCTGGCTCTGTGTTATGGAGGAAATGAGTATTTCCCAAAGCGGAGGAATAAATGATGGAAATAAGAAAATGTCTTCACTTAAGAACATTTACTGATCGCTTGCGCACTCAAAGCCACAAAATTAAACTAACGTTTTCTAATGCCTTTAATTTCAGTACTCTGGCAGGAGAATTAGCACATACAAGATGTTTGTTTATGGACTTAACAAGAAAATGACAATTTGGTAATGTCTGCCTCCCTTTCTCTTCCCCCACTCAATTTTTGTTTTTTATTACCCAGAAGGACAAGAGGTAGAAAACTGCAAAAGAAAACACAACAGCTTGCAAAGTTGACTGTGGACTTTTTTTTGGTTTCTTTTTTCTGCAAGCAATTCTGTTACAATATGCAGTTACTTTGGGGTCACGTTCTCAAGACTGATGGAATGGTCTCCCTCCTGCCAGGCCTTACCTACTTGCCAGAAGGCAGAGGGTGCCCTGGCAGAAAACCAAAAAGGGGCTGTCGGAAACAATGCAATTATTTAGAAAGAAGGACACTGCCAAGATCATCACACAGATCAGACCGTGCTATCTTTGTTGTTCCCCTGGTGTGCAGAAAGCACCCAGGACAGACATGTCCCAGACGAGCGGCCCAGGCAAACGTGGGAAGGGGAAGACAGAAGCCATTTATGCAACCCTAAAGAGGCCTGGCTTGACTGAACTTTTGGTTTCTCTGTTGTGGCTTCTTCTCGCTACCCCTGCAAAGGCTGGGAGGTCGATTCTCCCAGGCGTTAATGAAAGGCAGGGAGTGTGCACGGCCTCAAGGTGGAGATCCATGGGATTCTGCAGCAATAAAAGCAGCAGAGCAAGTACTGACAGAATCGTAAAAGTCACGAGGACACAAAACCCTTTGTTATTTATTCAGCTGGTGTATGATTTATAGGAATTTAGGTGGAAAAGTCTCTTAAGAAGAGCCATCATTCCAAACAAGCAAACAAATATCTAAGGGAAGATCAATATGGAAGACATCTTTGCAAACAAGAAGCATTAGTCAGGCCGAGTGTGGGGGCTCACGTCTGTAATGCAGCACTTTGGCGAGACCAACGTGGGCTGATCGCTTGAGCTCAGGAGTTTGAGACCCGCCTGGGCAACATGGGGAAACCCCATCTGTACAAAAAATACAAAAATTAGCCAGGAGTGATGGTATACACCTGGAGTCCCAGCTACTCAGGAGGCTGAGGTGGGAGGATCACTTGAGTACAGGAGGCAGAGGTTGCAGTGAGCTGAGATTGCGCCACTGCACTCTAGCCTGGGCAACAGAGCCGGACTTTGCCCCCGAATAAAAAAAAACAAAAAGAGGGCCGGGCGCGGTGGCTCAAGCCTGTAATCCCAGCACTTTGGGAGGCTGAGATGGGCGGATCACGAGGTCAGGAGATCGAGACCATGCTGGCTAACACGGTGAAACCCCATCTCTACTAAAAAATACAAAAAATTAGCCGGGCGAGGTGGCGGGCGCCTGTAGTCCCAGCTACTCGGGAGGCTGAGGCAGGAGAATGGCATGAACCCAGGAGGCGGAGCTTGCAGTGAGCTGAGATCCGGCCACTGCACCCCAGCCTGGGCGACAGAGCGAAACTCCGTCTCAAAAAAAAAAAAAAAAAACAAAAAGAAAGAAAGAAAACTTTAGTCATAACTGTTAGTCAGTAGATGTTTTAAACATCTGAAGCAAATATTTTTTGTTGTTTCTTGAAGCAAATATTTTTGCTTTGGATCAAACCTTAATTGTCACTCTATTAACTGGGGAGGCAATATTTAATAATGGCTTATTTTAATAAATACTTCAAAGCAAGGCAGAGCTGTTACATTTTTGTCCTTTCTTCTCTTGTTCCCTATATTGCAAAGATGTCACAAAACCTACCCCTTTGCCTTGGAACCACTGGAAGCAGTTTTTCTCCTCTTAGGCCTTTGGGAGGCTGGCATCTTTTTCCTTTTCCTTTCATTTCTGGTTTTACTTGTAAAGTAGTGGGAAGATACAGATATTTCCTCGTCGAGCTCCTCAGCGGTACTTCTTCCGGGGCCTCTGCTGCCGGACAGGCTCATCCCTGGGGAATTGTCTTCAGCTACAAATGGAAAATGCAGATGTTTACCGGTGATGTCGCACTGGTCCACGTGTTTTTAGTCTATATGAAGGGACACACTGCAGGGGCCTGTTTTAGCAGATAACCTGGCTTCCTCCCTGCCATATGGATTCAACAATTCAGTAAGAACCAAACCTTTTTTGACTTCACAAAGCCCCAAAGTGTTCAATGGCAACTCATTTTTAACAAAAGAGAATCAGAATTCATTTAAAAAATGTGTGATACTCCTGAAGTTAACTAGAGACATGAGGCTTAGCTCATACTGTCGCATACGGCCTGTATTCCTGTTGTTGATTGGGCAGTTAGTTCTGGTAGGCAATTCAAAAAATATCAAGTGCTATAAAGATGGCAGGCAATTTTACTTATTTTAAATGTGCTGAAAAAATTAGCTCAATATAAGGGAAACAAACGGTTCTGTATCTCATCTTTGAACAATAGTTTCTTAGTAAATGAGCATAAGAAAATTCTAGACCCTATTTTACTCTTCACAGACAAAAAAACTTGTCTTTGCACAATGGTTGAACATGTCACATATTATGCGGGAGGTGGGACTGCAGGAGGTGGGACTGCATGAAAGCACACATTTGCAAAGAAGATGGTAATTTCCGTAAGTATTTGCATCCCAAGGCACCCAAAAAGCACGAAACCTCCCTATAGATAGGTCACACGGAGACCCAGTCTCCATTTCCTGGCTGGTCTGGTTTGTCCTACAGGAGCAACATGGAGGGCACAGGACTCCACCGTGGCTGCTCCAAACCTGGCTCACTGTCAAAATGTATTCGGAACAAGGCTTTTAATGGACGAATTACCATATAGAAGAATTATAAGAAACTGACCAAGTGTGGTGGCTCATGCCTGTAACTCCAGCACTTTAGGAGGCTGAGGCAGGTGGATCACTTAACGTCACAAGTTTGAGACCAGTCTGGCCAACATAGTGAAACCCCATCTCTATCAAAATACACAAAAATTAGTCAGGTATGGTGGTGTGTGCCTGCAGTCTCAGTTACTGGGGAGGCTGAGGTGGGATAATGCTTGAACCTGGGAGGCAGAGTGAGCCAAGATTGTACCACTGAACTCCAGCCTGGAGTGAGACTCCAGACAGAGTGAGACTCTGTTAAAAAAAAAAAAAAAAAAAAAAAGGTGACTGGGGAAAGAAAGAACTTGAACCATCTCATCCTGCTCATCATTTCCATCACCCTTGGGAAGACCCCCACACTGCCTGTCTGGAAGCAGGAAGAACACTGAATTGGGCTTGTCTGTTGTGTCCTATTACATGGTGATGTTATCAGAGGGCGGAAAACTTCTGTGCTCTCAATATCGCCTGCAACAAAATACTTCGTTGTTCTCATTCCCCCCTGGTCAATGATTTCTAAAGCTGTAATGATGATGAAGCTCATGATTAGAGGTGCCACAGGACAGGCCTAACGTGACTCTGGGAACGTCTGATAATGATGCACTCAGGCAGGTTCTGTCAATGACTAACAATAGTAACATTCTAGTTTCATGCTCATTTCTCCAAAACATTTAAACACTAGTCTTAAATTTTATCTTTAGACATGTTTGTCAGATAACATGTTTCTTCCTTGGTGGAGGAACCTGATTCACAAAGAGGCTATTGGTGGCCTGCCAAAGATCACACAGCATGACACGGTGGCAGATCTGGGACTGGCACCCAGGGCTCTGATTCCTCGAGCACTTGCATTACAGGAACTAGCAACCCCTGGGCCCAAAGGTCCCCTTTTGGATCCTATGAGTAAGTTCAGAACTGGCACCCGCAGGGGGCAAAAGCACTAGTGTCCTCTCAGAGATGACTGGCACATCACTGGGGGCTGACTTGGATGTCAGTGTGACGAGGTGTAGGAAGCATTCACACAACCCGGAAACTGCATCATTCTAATTCAGTGAGATGCGTCGCTTCACATTAAAAAGGCTTTTAGAGAACACACATGGCTGTATACTAACCTGGCGATGTCCACTCAGAGTATTTCTGTAATACTGAAATCACTTCTGCACCATATTTTTCCAGTTTGTCTTCAGTAACACCATCAATTTGAAGCAAAACCTCAGGATCGGAAGATAAAGATTCTGTGCAGAGGCATAAAATTAGGAATTTAAATTATCACCCATAGAAAACCCACTGAATTCATGCTCATTCACGCATTCAGCACATGTCTGCTAAGTGCCAACTAACTGCAGGGTACTGGGAACACAGGCCAATTTTGTAAAGGGCAAAGTTAGCACCTCAGAGGCAGCAGACAGGCGCAGAGGGCAGGAACCCACCATCCAATTCCAGCGGCACAGGCCAGGGCAGAGCAAGGGCAAGAGCCAGGGCAGGAGGAGGCTGGGGGTGGGACTTGTGCCATGTGCGCAGAGTGGAGCAGACCTGCTCTTGCCCACTATTCCCATGGCCAATACTCATCTAGCTGAGATTGGCATGCCCTGTCTTTACTGAGAAGGCTGCATTTCTATTTCCAGCTCCAGCCTCTTCTCTGCACTCCAGACTTGTACACCCCACCCTAGATGGCATAACCAAATTGTTACTTCCTCCAGCACAAACTTTTCTTCCTCCACTCTTCCCCAGCTGAGTCCTCTGCATAGAGATTGCATATCAGTCTTGCAGCTAGACAAGCCTGTCATTTAAAGGTCACCCTGGCTGCTGTATAAGAAATTGACTGTAAAGGAAACAGTAGAATCCGGGAGCCTGGTGGAAGCCGTTGCAGGAGCGAGTGAGGATGGAGTGAACTGGAATGCAGTAGTGGAGACACAGTGAAGCAAGGTTTGGGTGAGTTTTGGAGGCTGGCTCTGGAGGACTGACTGATGCACTGGCTCTGGGTAGCAAGGGAGTAATCATTCCTACGTATTTGAGCTGAGCAAAGGGTAGATTTCGAATCCTTTCCCATCTGTGATTTTCACATCATTCCCATGTTTAGAGGAAAAGCAACAGACTGTGGACAGAACAGAAGGTTTATGAAGGGTGTTTAATGGAAGATAAAGTGGGAGAGGCAGGAAGAAATGTAGACCCTTGATAAAATGTATACTTTATCTGGGCAGCTGTTGTAGTTTTACTAGTTTTTGAAAGATTAAAATGTATATCATATTCACAGCAGGAGGTAAGGAGGACAGTTAAGAAACTACACTAAGAGCCTAGAAATAACATACCATAAAATACCATATTTCATCAATTCCAAGATACGTACCTTTTCACAATTTAGCATTCCTGAGGTCAAGATGTGTCTTAGAACTGCTGATGGCTAAATGGCAGCTGCCTTGCGGTTGTTACTGTTCACGCTTGTGAGAACTTAGTCACAGCTATTAGTACTGTCAGCATGTCAACAAAGTCACTGCACTGTTTGTACCTCACGTATTGAGTCTAACTGCCATGACATGTCTTCAAAAAGACTCTACTGTGATTAGCTTAAAAAAGTGATTGTGAATGCAGAAAAGTTCTGAAACAGAGTAGCAAGGAACACATTTGGCATTAAGAAAAGCACTATCTGGCTGAGCACGGTAGCTCATGCCTGTAATCCCAATACTTTGGGAGGCTGAGACAGGGCGGATTGCTTCAGCCCAAGAGTATGAGACCAGCCTGGGTAACAGTGAGGCCGTGTCTTTTCAAAAAAATGAAAAAGCTAGCCAAGCATGGTGGTACATGCCTGTAGTTCCAGCTACTCAGAAAGCTGGGGTAAGGAGGATCACTTGAGCCCAGGAGGTCTAGGCTGCAGTGAGCCGTGTTCAACCACTGCACCCAGCATGGGCGACAGAATAAGATCTTATCTCCAAAAAAAAAAAAAAACAAAGCAAAACAAAAAAAACCCAAGCACTATTTGTCTCTGAGGACACATGCCCACAATTCCATAGTTTCTTGCAAGTACAACCAAGTGCTTTACATGACCTAAGAAAGAAGACACCTAAAGTAGATGAGGCAGCATTACATCTTTGTTACTGAGAGATGTACAACCTTCTGTTGACACCTTCTGGTATCATCAAGAAACCACCACCTTCAAAATAGAACTGATAACAGAGGTTTCAATTAAATCTGGGGGAAAATAGTGGAACACTCTGGAAATGCCTTATGGCTAATGAGAATGTTAGTGATGACACAGGGAAAAACAAAGACATGGACAACTCAGTTAAAAAGTGACTCAGAAGAGTCAGGCTTTGAATGTGAACTTTTATAGGTACCTACAGTAATTTGATTATATGTATTTTTCATATAGGCACAGAGCTGTGGATAATAAAAATCAATGTCTAAATCAGTAAAAAAAACAGTTCTTTCAATAAAAGCACTGTGTCATAGTTTAATTAGCAGATTTTTTTCTTCCTTAACAGTCCATAAAGTAACAGTATCTTAATATAGCTGGCATCTTAGAGTCAGTGAAATATTGTAATGATTGATTATGGTAGAAGAGGGAATGAAGAAGACAGAAGGTGATGATTATGAGATTTTATGAGGAAGAACATGGAAGGTAATATAGCCCAGTTGGTCAACTATATGAAGACGTTGTTTTCCAGGAACTCTACTACTGAAATTCTGGGTTGGGCTATCTGCCCATGGAAATAACTCAGACCAGTAAGTATTTATTAACTAAAGACATAGCAGTGTGCTAGATCCAGATTCAAAGAAGCATAAAACACAATCTCTTCACTGCAGACTTTTTTTTTTTTTGAGATGGAGTCTTGCTGTCACCCAGGCTGGAGTGCAGTGGTGCGATCTTGGCTCACCGCACTTTGGGAGGCTGAGGTGGGTGGATTACCTGAGGTCAGGAGTCTGAGACTAGCCTGGCCAACATGGTGAGATCCTGCCTCTCGGGTTCAAGTGATTCTCCTGCGTCAGCCTCCCAAGTAGCTGGGATTACAGGCACCTGCCACTACGCCCGGATGATTTTTTTGTATTTTTAGTAGAGACGGGTTTTGCCATGTTGGGCAGGCTGGTCTTGAACTCCTGACCTCGTGATCCACCTGCCTCGGCCTCCCAAAGTGCTGGGATTACAGGCGTGAGCCACCACGTCTGGCCGGATCATTGTAATTTCCGAAACCAGACATCACTTCATTTTTTGTGCTGATTATTTGCCTGCCTGATAGTGTTCAGCTGTGTTATGTACGAATATCTGCAACCTCCGCCTCCAGGGTTCAAGCTATTCTCCTGCCTCAACCTCCCGAGTAGCTGGGATTACAGGCATGGCCCACAATTTACTTTGATTATATGTGTTTTTCATACAGGCACAGAGCTATAATTACAATTATACCATATATAACATATATAGGGTACTATTATACCATATATAACAAAGTACTGTATATATGTTAAAGAACATATTTTATCTTAAGAATGAGATTAATATTCAACAGTCTTAGATATCCTTAAAAAAAAAAAAAAAAGAATAAGTTTCAGCCGGGCGTGGTGGCTCACGCCTGTAATCCCAGCACTTTGGGAGGCTGAGGTAGGTGGATCACCTGAGGTTGGGAGTTCAAATCCAGCCTGACCAACATGGAGAAACCCCGTCTCCACTAAAAATACAAAATTAGCTGGGCATGGTGGCGCATGCCTGTAATCCCAGCTACTTGGGAGGCTGAGGCAGGAGAATCGCTTGAACCCGGGAGGCAGAGGTTGTGATGAGTTGAGATCGCGTCACTGCACTCCAGCCTGGGCAACAAGAGTGAAACACCATCTCAAAAGCAAACAGAAAAAGAGTAAGTTTCAATTGTTTCTCTGAGATTTTAATCCAGAGATTAAATAAAAACAACTGAGGCCAGGCTCAGTGGCTCATGCCTATCTGTAATCCCAGCACTCTGGCAGGCTGAGGCGGGAGGATCGCTTGAAGCCAAGAGTTTGAGACCAGACTGGGCAACATGGTGAAACTCTGTCTCTACGAAAAAATACAAAAATTAACTGTGCATGCTGGTATGTACCTGTAGTCCCAGCTACTTGGGAAGTTGAGGTGGGAGGATCACTTGAGCCCAGGAGGCTGAGGCTGCAGTGAGCCATGATCACACCACAGCACTCCAGCCCGGGTGACACAGCTAGACCCTGTCTCAAAACAAATAACCCCAAAAAGAAACAAACCACTGAGATATATTTATCACTTAAGGAGTTTCCTAGCAAGATTAACTTTCGGCCTATTAATCTGTGCCACGTAACAAAGGATACATGCGTACTCACCTGCAAGCTTCTTGAGAGTGACGGTGTTAAAAATATTGAAGTAATGGACACCAAAAACTTTCCCCAGAGATTTGCAGACTTCTGTAAGTTCTCCAAGACATTTTTTAACCATCTCTTCCCTCTGAGATACTTTTGCTACTAACGCTTTTTGTTTTTTCACACTGCTGGAATTTTCTGTTTCCATAAAGTCTACCTTTTATGAGAGAGAAACAAATGATAGGAGTGGGTATATGTGCACTTGTACCCATACAGGGGCTTTATTTAATGCATAATTGCATTTTTTGGGGGTAATTCTATTCTGTCACACCGAGAGTGAGCCCCCTGGGAACAGGGGCTGTGCATTCTCCATCTTTGTATCTCTAGTGTCAAGCATAGAATAGCCTCTTGATAAATGTTTCTTTAATGAATATATAAAAATTTAGTGACCTGATAACCCATTAAATTACTTTTTACATTACTTGGGTTGAATTTTAAGATCTCTTTCCAATTTAAGAAGAACAGAATATGTTCATATAGAACAGTACATATAAATTCAGTATCTATAAGCTTGGACAAAGACACTATACTTCACAGTAATATATTTTGGTTCAACTCATTGTGAGATAATAAAATAAACATGAAAAATACCATACCTTTAAATTGCCATTTAGTACAGTTTGGGCTTTATTTCCGAGCATCACATAAGCGATTGCCTGGTCATTGGCATTGATATATAAGTCTTCATCCAAAATCTTGTCAAGTATCAGCTTTTTAAAAAGTCTTTCGGCATTGTGTCGTGAATAAGCAGATCCTTTTCCAAATATACCTGACTGGATTTTTGCACTCTTACTCCCTGATAAGAAGGTTCAGGAAGTAAGATGAGTAAATGTAGGTATATCATCACCCTCAAACAGAAGAGGCTAAAAAGTCATTTATGGACAGGTTTGGACAGATGGAATAGATCACAAACCCCTGGCACAGACACTCATTTCTGTAAAATGACAATATTTGAGTAGAACGCTAAAATTTCTATGGTTGTATGTACTTTTCCTTATCTTTTTACAATACACATGGACAAAAAACAGCAGCAAAATTATATTGGAGCAAATAAATCAAAGAAAGAGTTTACATAAACCATAATAGCTTTCTATCACTGTGCTATGTATTAGGGTAACTGTCCATTACTTATCTAGTTACAATTTTTTTTTTTTTTTTTTTTTTTAGAGAGAGGTTCTCACTCTATTGTGGAGGCTGGAGTGCAGTGGTGCAATCATGGTTCACTGCAGTCTCAAACTCCTGGGCTCAAGTGATCCTCCTGCCTCAGCCTCCTGACTAGCTGAGATAACAGGTGCAGCCCATCACACCCACTTATTTAAAAATTTTAAATATTTAACTGCATCTAGTATTTATTAATTTTTTAATTTTTGTAGGTACATAGTAGGTGTATATATTTGTGTAGTACATGAGATATTTTGATACAGGCATACAGCATGAAAAAAGCACATCATGGAGAATGGGCCATCCATTCCCTCAAGTATTTAATCCATTGAGTTGCAAACAATCTAGTGACACTCTTTATGTCCTTTTATAATATTTAATTTTTTTTGTAGAGACGAGGGTCTCACTATGTTGTTCAGGCTGGTCTGTAACTCCTGGCCTCAAGCAATCCTCCCACCCTGGTTTCTCAAACTATTGGGATTACAGGCATGAGCCACCGCACCTGGCTACAAAAAATTTTTTGACAGTTTTATAAATACTATCCCTGGCCCTGTTATCAAAACTGCTACTAGTTGATAATCCAAGTATTTAAGTCTATTCTTTGTGTCACCCTCACTAATGAAGCCTATTCAAATTCTCAAAGAAAAGCACAACACCCTATAAGGTCCTCAAGGGGAGAGATGAAGACAGGAATATGAACACACATTTCCCTCTTTCTCTTACCAGCCGAGAGCCACAGTTGGCTGGATCCTTTGTTTCATTCACAAGCTGCTGTAACTGTTAATGTCTTCATTATAAACACAATTTTATTGTAACGATCTACTTAAGAGACCTTGTGACATTTATAATAATCAGAATTAATGGTTATTATGTAAAGCTTTAGCTCTGTTTTTAAAGAGTTCCAAATAATTATATTATTGTCAATTTCAAATGGCTTCTGGCCATATATCTTGAATTATTCAACTTTTTCTTTAAGTAATGTATGTCCCTGAAAGGTCACATTACAGAAACAGGACTACTGTTCTGCTAATGATAGGCTGAGTGGCGTGGACCAACCTTACTGCTAAGGACAACTAAGAAAGCTGGCTGAAATGCAATTTTTTTTTTTTTTGAGTCAGGGTCTTGCTCTGTTGCCCAGGCTGGGGTGCAGTGGCGGGATCACAGCTCGCTGCCACCTCAATCTCATGGGCGCAGGTAATCCTCCCACCTCAGCCTCTGGAGTAGCTGGCACTACAGGTGCGTGCCACCATGCTTGACTAATTTTTGTATTTTTGATAGAGACAGGGTTTCACCAGGTTGCTCAGGCTGATCTTGAACTCCTGGGCTCAAGCAACACACCTGTCTTGGCCTCCCAAAGTGCTGGAATTACAGACATGGGCCACTGTACCCAGCCAGAAAGGTTTTTTTTTTTTTTTTTTTTTTTTTTTGAAACAGAGTCTCGCTCTGTCGCCCAGGCTGGAGTGCAGTGGCCAGATCTCAGCTCACTGCAAACTCCACCTCCCGGGTTTACGCCATTCTCCTGCCTCAGCCTCCCGAGTAACTGGGACTACAGGCGCCCGCCACCTTGCCCGGCTAGTTTTTTGTATTTTTTAGTAGAGACGGGGTTTCACCGTGTTAGCCAGGATGGTCTCGATCTCCTGACCTCGTGATCTGCCCGTCTCGGCCTCCCAAAGTGCTGGGATTACAGGCTTGAGCCACCGCGCCCGGCCTAGAAAGGTTTATAATTAAAAGCAACATTCCCCTGACTTATCCTTCCCTTCCCCAAGGGAATCACTTTTTAAACAGTTTTTGTTTTCAGCTCTTCAGGTGGTTACCTACACACAGAAGGACCTGAAATCTTGCCTTCTGTCCAATAGCCTGATATTTATCTATTGCCCTTGCCCCTTTACTATGAAAGATGTGGATTTATCTCATTCATACCACCCCCACTTTGTTTCATTCTTCTCTGAATTTTGCTAGTTATATGATACTATTGGGTCATGTACTAATTATGTTTCTAACTTTAGACAGAACTTCTGACCATTATCCCGCCCCACAATGTGAGATGTTATTAGTACCCAAGCCTTCCCTGTATATGCCTTCTTTTATTTTTAGTGATTGTACTTTTACTTTTACATCATCAATATTAACATTTACATCTGTTCTGTCCTGTAACCACATTTAGGTCTATATGTTGATTTCAATCGTTGTTTACATGATGACAAATTTCCTTCCCTAATGGGAACAATGTCATGACTCTTATGGAACCAAAAGGAGAATGTTTATCACATCCATGTCAAATGGATTTTATTTGTACATTTTACTAATTCTTCAAAGTCATGTTACAATTTTTTTTTTTTGAAATGGAGTCTTGCTCTGTCACCCAGGCTGGAGTGCAGTGGTGCGATCTCAGCTCACTGCAACCTCCGCCTCCCAGATTCAAGCGATTCTCCTGCCTCCGCCTCCTGCGTAGCTGGGATTACAGGGCGCACACCATCAGTGGTGGCTAATTTTTGTATTTTTTTGTAGAGATGAGGTTTTGCCATGTTGGCCAGGCTGGTCTGGAAATCCTGACCTCAAGTGAAACACCCACCTTGGCCTCCCAAAGTACTGGGATTACAGGCATGAGCCACTGTACCTGGCCACAACTTCCTTTGTTTTATATTTGATCTTGCTCTCTTGTATAATCTTTTCCCTGGAGTTTCTAAGGGCCTCTCTCGTTTTTTTATTGTTTGTTTGTTTGTTTTTTGTTGTTGTTGAGAAGTAACATTTGCATTCTTCACTGTTACCAATAAAACCATTCCTTTCTTTTTTTTTTGAGACGGAGTCTCGCTCTGTCGCCCAGGCTGGAGTGCAGTGGCCGGATCTCAGCTCACTGCAAGCTCTGCCTCGCGGGTTTACACCATTCTCCTGCCTCAGCCTCCCGAGTAGCTGGGACTACAGGTGCCCGCCACCTCGCCCGGCTAGTTTTTTGTATTTTTTAGTAGAGACGGGGTTTCACCGGTTTAGCCAGGACGGTCTCGATCTCCTGACCTCGTGATCCGCCCGTCTCGGCCTCCCAAAGTGCTGGGATTACAGGCTTGAGCCACCGCGCCCGGCCAAAACCATTCCTTTCTTACTCTCTCTCTATGTTGGGTGGGTCCTGCTCCTCCTGACTTTTTTTTTTTGTTGTTGAGATGGAGTTTCACTCTTGTTGCCCAGGCTGGAGTACAATGGCGCAATCTTGGCTTACTGCAACCTCCACCTTCTGGGTTCAAGCAATTCTCCTGCCTCAGCCTCGCGACTAGCTGGGATTTCTAGCACGTGCCACCACACCCAACTTATTTTGTATTTTTAGTAGAGACGGAGTTTTCCTTGTTGGTCAGGCTGGTCTCGAACTCCTGACCTCATGATTCGCCTGCCTCAGCCTCCCAAAGTGCTGGGATTACAGGCGTGAGCCACCACGCGCAGCCTCCTCCTGACTTTTGTTAGTCTGCATGGATTGCTTACTGGCCCTACTGCCTGACTGTGACAATGGGTTTTCTTCACTGGACCCATGGGTGGGTTCCACTGCTTATCAAATCATGATGTGCGCTTACTTTCTTTGCCTGCTGGTCTCCAGGATTGCTGATATTAAGCTGATGTCAGTCTGGTTTGGGTTCCTGTTTTCTTTCCAGAGCTTTCAGGATTGTCTCTGAAGGGGTCCAGAATATGCCACTGTGGCATAAAAATTATTTTGAGCAGAAGGCATCTGAAATCTCTTTTTTTTTTTTTTTTTGAGACGGAGTCTCGCTCTGTCGCCCGGGCTGGAGTGCAGTGGCCGGATCTCAGCTCACTGCAAGCTCCGCCTCCCGGGTTTACGCCATTCTCCTGCCTCAGCCTCCCGAATAGCTGGGACTACAGGCGCCCGCCACCTCGCCCGGCTAGTTTTTTGAATTTTTTTTAGTAGAGACGGGGTTTCACCGTGTTAGCCAGGATGGTCTCGATCTCCTGACCTCGTGATCCGCCCGCCTCGGCCTCCCAGAGTGCTGGGATTACAGGCTTGAGCCACCGCGCCCGGCCTGAAATCTCTTATCTGCCAAAAAGCAGGGCAGGGCCTCCCAAAAGAACTCAGTTGTCATAAATTCCCTCCCTTGGAAAAACCAGGGAAGGCTGACCCTTTTAAACAGAGATAAGACTTCACACCACACTTAAACAGACATTGTCATAAAAACCTTGTCTCTCCCATCTGGTCTGCTAACAGTCCATCTGTCTTTCCTAACAGTCATTTGTTTTTCCGTAAGTGCCCCCCTCCTCCTCCCCTTCCTCTATTAAGATAGTATATAAGCCCCACATTCTAACTGCCCCTTTGAACCACATTTTTCTGTGAACTCCTATCCACACATGACTAAATCTGACTTTTCCCTTGCTAATCTGTCTTTTGTTGGTTTAATTTGCAGGCCCCATCACTGAATCTAAGAAGGGTTGAGGAAAAGGTTTTCCTCTTTGACATGTCTTTAACTCTTAGTATTCTCAAATCTCATGGCCATATGTCTTAATTTTTTTTTTTTTTTTTTTTTTTTTTTAACAGGCATCCTATTTGGCATTCAGTGAACATTTTAATCCAAAACTTTTATCTCTTCCACTCTAGGAAGTTTTCCTATATCATTGGTTTGATAATTCCCTTTATTTTCTATTTCCAAAATTTTTGTCAGATTTTACATCTGCTGAGGATTAATCCTTTCTATGCTTTCTCTATTTTCCATACATCATTTTGATCAGTTCCTAAATTTTCTTGACTTTATTTTCCAACCTCTCCACTAAATTTACTTTGTCAATCATTTAAAATTGACAGCTATTTCACATTTTTGTTTCTTTTCCATTATTCAATTATCTCTTTATTTTAAAAAATCTTTAAGATGATACTAAGGAGTCTTCTCTCCCCTCTCTCCCAAACTACTATATTCAATGATCTCTATTACCCAGGGTCAAATGTTCTATTTATTTGGTCTTCCTCTTTACTGTCCATTTCTTTCTTTCTTTTTTTTTTTGAGACGGAGTCTCACTCTGTTGCCCAGGCTGGAGTGCAGTGGTGCGATCTCAGCTCACTGCAAGCTCCGCCTCCCGGGTTTCTTTCTTTTTTTTGAGATGGAGTCTCACTCTGTCACCAGACTGGAGTGTAGTGGTGCTACCTCGGCTCACTGCAACCTCCATCTCCTAGGTTCAAGGAATTCTCTTGCCTCAGTCTCCCGAGTAGCTGGGACTACAGGTGTGCGCCACCACGCCCAGCTAAGTTTTGTATTTTTGGTAGAGACAGCGTTTCACCATGTTAGCAAGGATGGTCTCAATCTCTTGACCTCATGATGCGCCCGCCTTGGCCTCCCAAAGTGCTGGGATTACAGGCATGAGCCACTGTGCTTGGCCTTTACTGTTCATTTCTAAGTAAATTTCAGGGACTAGGTGAAACTTCTTAGGTGGGTTTCTTCTGTTATTTTCTATCTAGATTTACTTCCTCCCAAATTTCTTCCCTGAATGGGGATATTTAATTGTCAGGTTTGCTTTAGGGTAAGTAGGTCGGACCAGACTTTAGGTAGGCCAGGCAGTTCCCAAATGCCACTTAGGGGCTCTGACCCCTAATTCAGCTGCCCTTCTACTCTTTAGGCAATCACTTCATTTACTGTTGCTTTTGAGTCAATTCCAGGCATTCTATGCAGTTCTTTTGTGGGCACATTTTCTATTTTTCTTTTTTTTTTTTGAGACGGAGTCTTGCTCTGTCGCCCAAGCTGGAGTGCAGTGGTGTGATCTCGGCTCACTGCAACTTCCTCCTCCTGGGTTCAAGCGACCTACCTGCCTCAGCCTCCTGAGTAGCTGAGACTACAGGCATGTGCCACCATGCCTGGCTAATTCTTGTAATTTTTTTTGTAGAGACGGTATTTTGCCATGTTGCCCAGGCTAGTCTCGAACTCCTGGGCTTAGGCAATCCTCCTATGTTGGTTTCCCAAAGTGCTGGGATTACAGGTGTGAGCCACCATGTCTAGCCCTGCTTCCTAATTTTGGCTCCCTGGGTTTCACTCCTATCCTCTTGTACCTCTAGACTTCAAGACTGATGCTTAGTGTTGGAGTTTTGCCTGGCTGATGGTCCCTTTTCTGTTATAAATCTTCCCTATATTCATTTTGGGTTGTGGCTTTATTACATTTTGTTCTATTTGTCAACATGCTTCCATCCATTTCCTAAGTCTTTTTTTTTTTTTTTGAGACAGAGTTTTGCTCTTGTTGCCCACGCTGGAGTGCAATGGTGTGATCTCGGCTCACTGCAACCTCTGCCTCCCGGGTTCAAGTGATTCTCCTGCTTCAGCCTCCCTGGTAGCTGGATTACAGGCGCACACCACCATACCCCACTAATTTTTGTGTTTGTTTGTTTATTTATTTTTGAGACAGAGTTTCACTCTTGTTGCCCAGGCTGGAGTACAATGGTGCGATCTCAGCTCACTGCAACCTTCACTTCCTGGGTTCAAGTGATTCTCCTGCCTCAGCCTCCCGAGTAGCTGGGATTACAGGCGCCTGCCACCACGCCTGGCTAATTTTTTGTATTTTTTAGTAGAGACAGGGTTTCACCATGTTGGCCAGGCTGATCTCGAACTCCTGACCTCAGGTGATCCACCCGCCTCGGCCTCCCAAAGTGCTGGGATTACAGGTGTGAGCTAATATGCTCAGCCCCTAAGAGATTTTTAAAGGCTCTAATCTGATAATAGTTTCTCTCCTATTCTCTATGCTATTATGGGTCTAATCCTCATTTTATTTCCTTACTAACATTTTAATAGTTACATTCCACTCACTCAGATGAACTTGCATAAGCTTTATTATTTTCTTTTTTTTGTATGCGAAACTATCTCAACTTAGTGACATATACATTATATAAAATAGTATCATAAAATTGACTTCCTTTTGTTACTCAAAAGTTTTATTCAGAAACTCCAGTTTTATAAGAAAATAGACAAAAGTGATTTTTTTCTATTTACTTGTAATAAATTCTTTAGATGCTCAATTTCAATTGACGTAACTCAAACATTCAAAACAGATGACTTACCCAAGAAAATGTCAACCAGCATATTCATAGTAAATCTTCCAGAAGGACCTACATGTTTTACATTTCTCATTCCTTGTGATGAACTATGTTCTTGAACAAATCTTATAATACTTTTCACATCATCAGTCACATCTCTTGTTTTATAATCCTGTGAATAAAAAGAGAATACTTTCTGCTATAATTAAGGTAGCAACGCCTAGATTACTAGGGTTTAATATTAACTATGGTAGATTCATCTTAACCCATTTCCAGAGCAATACCAAGACTAAAAACTACGGAAATTTCAAATGTTCATTCTTATCTAAGTTCTAGAACAATTACCACTCTATGTTGTTACTGTTTCACAGAGATACAGCTTGTCTTTCAACTACCTGATAGCACTCTGTGGGTAGATGTTTGGCTAATGATAGGCTGAGTGGCATGGACCAACCAACATATATAACATACAGACACACACACACAATTTAAATCCTTCACACCTCCTAGAATAGTGCTCTGTTACATACTGGGTGGCAACCTGTGGGATGAAAAATACTGTCCAGCCATGTATATCCACGAATTCTAACCCCTCTGGGGTCTTTGGTGCCACAGTCAATGCTCCTTCATCATCTTCTGTGAGTTTCCTTTCTCATTTCCTTCAGCTATCCCCAAACTTTGCCCACTTTTTTTTTTTTTTTTTTTTTGAGACGGAGTCTTGCGCTGTCGCCCAGGCTGGAGTGCAGTGGCCGGATCTCAGCTCACTGCAAGCTCCGCCTCCCGGGTTCACGCCATTCTCCGGCCTCAGCCTCCGGAGTAGCTGGGACTACAGGCACTGCCACCTTGCCCAGCTATTTTTTGTATTTCTTAGTAGAGACGGGGTTTCACCGTGTTAGCCAGGATGGTCTCGATCTCCTGACCTCGTGATCCGCCCATCTCGGCCTCCCAAAGTGCTGGGATTACAGGCTTGAGCCACCGCGCCCGGCCTTGCCCACTTTTTAGAGCCCCCATTACTAGATGACTTTTTGCCTTCCTCTCTCCTAGTTCTCTACCAGCAATACTGACCACTCACGGGTGTAAAAAGTTGCATCATGCTTGGTGCTTCTGTGCATGCAGTTCTCCCTACCTTCTAATCCTTGTCATTTGCACACACCAATAACCCGGAGATGAATAGGTTTCTGGTCTTACACTAACAACTGGAAGCAATTCTGAAGCCCTATCTAGAATCATTGAAAAAAGTACCCTGTCACTCCATTCCTACCTTAATTTTTTTTTTTTTTTGAGATGGAGTTTCACTCTTGTTGCCCAGGCCGGAGTGCAATGGTGCAATCTCGGCTCCCTGCAACCCCCACCTCCCAGGTTCAAGCGATTCTTCTGCCTCAGCCTCCCAAGTAGCTGGGGTTACAGGCGCCTGCCACCATGCCAGGCTAATTTTTTTGTATTTTTAGTAGAGATGGGGTTTCACCACGCTTGCCAGGCTAGTCTCTAACTCCTGACCTCAGGTGATCCGCCAGCCTCAGCCTCCCAAAGTGCTGGGATTACAGGTGTGTGAGCCACTGCACTTGGCCACCTACCTTAATTCTTGGTGATTGGATATATAGAGCTGATCCTATTTTGACCTTTTGGTTCTTGATCTCCTCTGCTCCAATGATCCTGTTCTCCACATACATCAGCCACTCACACTTTGTACCTTTAGCTTGCTAATAATGGCAACTCCTTCATTCTCAGAAGACCACATCATATCTTTCTAACTCATGCCATCTGGTATTCTGACTCCAACAATCCCCTGGGAATGCCCATCTGCTGACCCTCACCCTCAGATGTCCTCCTAACTCAGCTGAAATTCCACAGTCAATCATTATAATCACTACCTCTCATAGAGCGTCAGCTCTTTTGCCCTTAGGTCACTTCACCATATTACCTGGCAAAACATAGTGGACCCAATTCTCCATCTACACTATCCCTGTACCTACATGACTGAACTTGGCATTTTCACGGTCAATACATGGTCACAAAGCTCGAATGGACTGTTAATGCTATAGGCAATCATTATCTTTATACTTCCCTAGCCTATCATTCCTCCATTTTCTCACAACAGAAGTCAGCAAACTATGGCCCAGGAGCTGGATGCCTGCTTTTGTGTATAAAGTTTTATTGGAACACAGCCATGGAAGATGACTGGAAAATTGGTGTATTTATTGTTTATGTCTGCATGTAGCCTACAATGGCAAAGTTGTGAGTCGTTGTGACAGAGACTATGGCTGCAAAGTGTACAACATTTACTCTGTGGCCCTTTAAAAGCAAGTTTACTGACCCCTGTCCTAGACAACTATTTCATACTTTCTCCCTTCTCTTCTGTCCCTTCTCTTATCCCAACTGTCAGCTAATGGCCATGCTTTAAATATCACCCATGTGCCATCAGTCTCTTTTCAGAATTTTTAAATCTAATATGTAACTCAATATTAGATTCCCAATTTAGGTAACCCAAACCAAACTCTTGATCTTCTCTGCCAACCAGCCTTCTGCATTGTAGCCAAGGAAAACTCCATCCTTCCAGTTACTCAGGCCTCTAGTTACTCTGGGACTCTAGCCCTCAAGTGACTGCTCTGGCTCTCCAGCACCTCTTCCTCTCGCTGGCTCTTAATCCTGCTCAGCCACATGGGGCTCCCTTGCTATCTCTCGAACACACCAGGCACACCGCCACCTTAGGGCCTTTGCTCTAGCCAATGTTTCTTCCAGGAAAGCTCACATCCAGAGAGCTGCCAGCTAACTCTTTTCTTCAAGGTTTTGCTCAGCTCCCATCTTCTCAATGAGACTTCCAACGACCACCCCGTCTAATACTGCATACTGTACTCTACCCATTCCTCCTGTCTCTTTACTCTGCTGTGTCATTCACCACAGTTCTTATCCTTTCACATATATTTATTGTGTATATTTTTTGTAACTGGCCTCCCTCTGCTGGAGTGTAAGCTCCGCAAGGGCAGGGATTTTAATTTTGTTTAGTGATGTATCCCAAATTCCTACAACAGTGCCTGTTACACAGCCCAACAAATATCTGTTGAATGAGGGAAGTGATTAGCAATGTTTACGGGATTGCGTGGGGTGGGAGGAGATGGCATGAATTTGCCAATTCCACACTGAGAGAGATGACCCTCTGCTCTGCCTCATGCTCTGTCTTTTTTTTTTTTTGAGACAGACTCTCGCTCTGTCGCCCAGGCTGGAGCGCAGTGGCCGGATCTCAGCTCACTGCAAGCTCCGCCTCCCGGGTTTACGCCATTCTCCTGCCTCAGCCTCCCAAGTAGCTGGGACTACAGGCACCCGCCACCTCTCCCGGCTAGTGTTTTGTATTTTTTTAGTAGAGACGGGGTTTCACTGTGTTAGCCAGGATGGTCTCGATCTCCTGACCTTGTGATCCGCCCATCTCGGCCTCCCAAAGTGCTGCGATTACAGGCTTGAGCCACTGCACCCGGCCAGTGCTCTGTCTTTTTTAACTATACTTACTGAGAGTATTAAACATTTTTTTTTTTTTTGAGATGAAGTTTTGCTCTTCTTGCCCAGGCTGGAGTGCAATGGCGTGATCTCGGCTCACTGTAGCCTCCTCCACCTACCAACTTCAAGCAATTCTCCTGCCTCAGCTTCCCAAGTAGCTGGGATTACAGGCATGGGCCACCACGCCTGGCCAATTTTGTATTTTTTCAGTAGAGACAGGGTTTTACCATGTTAGTCAGGCTGGTCTTGAATTCCTGACCTCAGGTGATCCGCCCGCCTCGGCCACCCAAAGTGCTGGGATTACAGGCATGAGCCACCGTGCCCAGCCAGAGTGTTAAACTTCTATGAACACATGTATGTCAGTCTCCACTCCAGTCTATGAATTGGTCTACACCATGTTCACTTGTGGCTCTCCAGCATCTTGCACATATAAGTTTAATACTCCCAGATAGGTAAATAATATACCAAATGTGAAAATGCTCAGTAAGCAGTAAGATACAGTAGACATTAAAATGTAGAATTACCGGCCGGGTGCGGTGGCTCAAGCCTGTAATCCCAGCACTTTGGGAGGCCGAGACGGGCGGATCACGAGTTCAGGAGATCGAGACCATCCTGGCTAACACGGTGAAACCCCGTCTCTACTAAAATACAAAAAAAATTAGCCGGGCGAGGTGGCGGGCGCCTGTACTCCCAGCTACTCGGGAGGCTGAGGCAGGAGAATGGTGTGAACCCGGGAGGCGGAGCTTGCAGTGAGCTGAGATCCGGTCATTGCACTCCAGCCTGGGCGGCAGAGCGAGACTCCGTCTCAAAAAAAAAAAATAAAATAAAATAAAATAAAATAAAATAAAATGTAGAATTACCATAATAGGTAAAATAGGTACCTAATGATTGAATTTAACAATTCCCAAGGGTATTTTAGGACAGATAATAGTGAATTTATCTACAAGCAGTTACTGTTATTCTTTATAGTTAAAAAAAAAAAAGAGTAATATAGGCTGGGCGCGGTGGCTCACGCCTGTAATCCCAGCACTTTGGGAGGCCGAGGCGGGCGGATCACGAGGTCAGGAGATCGAGACTATCCTGGCTAACACGGTGAAACCCCGTCTCTACTAAAAATACAAAAAATTAGCCGGGCGTGGTGGTGGGCACCTGTGGTCCCAGTTACTTGGAGGCTGAGGCAGGAGAATGACATGAACCTGGGAGGTGGAGCTTGCAGTGCGCCAAGATTGCGGCACTGCACTCCAGCCTGGGCGACAAAGCGAGACTCCATCTCAAAAAAAAAAAAAGAGTAATGTCATTGATTTGAATTCAAACATACAGTATGCTAGTTATTATTCTTTTGAGAATGAGCTCTTTTAGTATATTAATTAAATATTTAAAAAATTAAATACTAATACATCAATTTAAATATATTTAATTTAATCAATTAAAATGTTAATATAATGTAATATATTAATAACATCAATATATTAAATTTAAAATATTCTACCTGCCCATGTTGAATCTCTTTGGGTGTTTGCATATTCATATTTCTAAAATATTTTGTAATCATCAGTGCACATATATAAACTCAATATTTTGGATATGCAGATGTCCAGTATATTTTTTAACAGGGTTCTAATTATAAAGAAAGGATACTGCATGAAATTACTTTTTAAATGTTTCCATTCCAAATTACTACTGGAAGGAAGCTGTCTTTCCCCTGTTAATCTGTCAGAGACCAACTTTTGCAATCTAATTTGTATCTACATTTTTAAAATTAAAAAACATTTTAATTATAAATAATTTTAAAACTTCTTTTTTTTTTTTTTACCTTTGTTTTACAGCAGTTATCACAAGAAACATCTGGGTGTTTCTTACAAAAATCAGGATTAAATCCATTTTCACCAAAATAGGCCAAAAGCTGTATTCTCCTGCATTCCGTTATATTTTCACAGTAATGTACCATGCTATACAAATTATTGAAATGAGTTTCTCTTGTATGATGGTTTCCATCTTTTTCCACTGAAAGAGATGAAGAGTATAGTAAGACATACTTACAGGGGAAAAATAGAGAACATCACAGAAATATTTAGAATAGATTCATATAACTTTAAATATTAAATAAGAAAATTACTGTTAACAGCATTATGTCAACATGGCATTCTATATTATAATTAACTGAGTATTAATGTTCATCCTCAAGATTTTAGTATTATAGGAATAAATGTTAGATTTTTTTTTTTTTCAAATCTTCATTATCCCCAATGATGATGGTTTGACTTATATTTGCTGTATTTATCAGTTGAGCATGTACTGAACTGAACATCCCGAGGAAGCAGAGCCTGAGATTATGGCAGTGGCCATGCACTTCTCTGAGTATCTGAGGTCAAAGTAGTTACAGCAATGGTTCCAAAATTGTGCGCCAACAAGCCCTGGGGTGCTGTGGTGAACTCACAGAGACAGAATATTTTAAATTTAAGGGAAACACAGCAATGCCTAACATCTGTTGAACATCACCCAAATTATTAGTTTGAGGTAGTTAATGGTATTAACATTAGATTGTGCTACATTCCTATTAGCAATATCTTATCTTTGCAAAGCTGGGTTTTTGGTAGTTGTTATGATAAAAAGAAGAATCTCAAGAAAATCAGTGTGAAACAGGAAATGAGGGTGGCAGTGTCTGATTTGATTCGAATGTGTGAGAACAGCAGTGGCATACTTTCCATCAGTAAGCAACTGTCGTTACTTAAGAATTTTAACACCAGGTATGGTGGCTCATGCCTGTAATCCTAGCACTCTGGGAGGCCAAGGTGGGCGGATCACCTGAGGTCAGGAGCTTGAGACCAGTCTGGCCAACATGGCAAAACCCTGTCTCTACTAAGAATACAAAAATTAGCTGAGTGTGGTGGCACGAGCCTGTAATCCCTGCTACTCAGGAGGCCGAGGCTGGAGAATCGCTTAAACCCAGAAGGTGGAGGTTGCAGTGAGCTGAGATCATGCCACTGCACTCCAGCCTGGGCGACAAGAGTGCAACTCCGTCTCAAAAAAAAAAAAAGAAAAAAAAAAAAGAATTTAAAAAAAATATTATTTGGCCGGGCGCGGTGGCTCAAGCCTGTAATCCCAGCACTTTGGGAGGCCGAGACGGGTGGATCACAAGGTCAGGAGATCGAGACCATCCTGGCTAACCCGGTGAAACCCCGTCTCTACTAAAAAATACAAAAAACTAGCCGGGCGAGGTGGCGGGCGCCTGTAGTCCCAGCTACTTGGGAGGCTGAGGCAGGAGAATGGCGTGAACCCGGGAGGCGGAGCTTGCAGTGAGCTGAGATCCGGCCACTGCACTCCAGCCTGGGTGACAGAGCGAGACCCTGTCTCAAAAAAAAAATATTATTGTTTTCTTCCAGTTTATGAGTATTTTCCCCCCCAAATAGTTGCTGTCATCAGGACTTAAATATCTATTAAATTGTCTGGGCCTAAATTTTTTTTTTTTTTTTTTGGTCTTGGCCTCCCGAAGTGCTGGGATTACAGGTGTGAGCCACCATGCCTGGCTATGTTTGGGCCTAGCTTTAATATAGATTAAAAAAAACACACAAATGGGCAAACCAAGTGTAAATATTTCATTTTCTTCACTGAGAATCACTTTGGTATAGTGCAAGGAACATGGACTTTGGAATCAGATGAACTTGGGTTCTGTCAGGGCTCTACCATTTACTAGTTTTGCATTTCATTTTCCTCCTCTGTAAAATGAGGAAAGCAAAGGTCTTATCTCTGAGGGTTATTGTGGAGATGAAATTAGTTGATGATGTATGTAAGGCATTTAGAATGGCACAAAGGAAGTGCTAAATAAATACCATCTATAATAATTACCATTGTTATACTACTACAACAACTACTCCTATTGCTCCTGCTACCTCAGTGATCTTGGGGAAAAGTTACAAAACCTTTCTGAAGCTCACTTTTTATGGGAGTACCTCTACATCACAAGTTAGTTGTTTTGAACAAATAAGGTAATGAGGTGATATATGCAGCGCTGGGCACAGTGCTTGGTAAGTGCCATTTCCCATGCTCAGTACTTCTGCCAGAGTTAATTTAAAAGTGGTCTTGGCTGGGCACGGTGGCTCATGCCTGTAATCCCAGCACTTTGGGAGGCTGAGGCAGGCAGATCACTGGAGGTCAGGAGTTTAAGACCAGCCTGGCCAACGTGGTGAAACCCTGTCTCTACTAAAAATACAAAAATTTGGGCCAGGCACAGTGGCTCAAGCCTGTAATTCCAGCACTTTGGGAGGCTGAGACGGGTGGATCACGAGGTCAGGAGATCGAGACCATCCTGGCTAACACGGTGAAACCCCGTCTCTACTAAAAAATACAAAAAACTAGCTGGGCAATGTGGCGGGCGCCTGTAGTCCCAGCTACTGGGGAGGCTGAGGCAGGAGAATGGCGTGAACCCGGGAGGCGGAGCTTGCAGTGAGCTGAGATCCGGCCACTGCACTCCAGCCTGGGCGAGGGTGACAGAGCCAGACTCCGTCTCAAAAAAAAAAAAAAAAAAAAAAATTAGCCGGGCATGGTGGCAGGTGCCTGTAATCCCAGCTACTCAGAAGGCTGAGGTAGGAGAATTGCTTGAATCTGGGAGGCAGAGGTTGCAGTGAGCCGAGATCACACCACTACACTTCAGCCTGGGCAACAAGAGCAAGACTCCGTCTCAAAAAAAAAGAGAAGAAAACAAAAAGTGGTCTCAAAAGAAATACATATATTTATGAAATATATTTAACTCTCACAACCCAGGAGAAAAATGAGCAAAGAATGTAATAAAATTCTAAAATATGCATTCACTTTCACCCAACAAGTTAAAGTTTAGAAATTTATCCTATGAGGCCGGGCGTGGTGGCTCACGCCTGTAATACCAACACTTTGGGAGGCTGAGGTGGGCAGATCACCTGAGGTCAGGAGTTCGAGACCAGCTGGGACAAATGGTGAAATCCTTGTCTCTACTAAAAATACAAAAATTAGCTGGGCGTGGTAGCACATGCCTGTAATCCCAGCTACTCTGGAGGCTGAGGTGAGAGAATTGCTTGAACCCGGGAGATGGAGGTTGCAGTGAGCCAAGATTGTGCCACTCCAGCCTGGGTGACCAAGTGAGACTCGGTCTTAAAAAAAAAAAAAAAATTATCTTGTATAAATAATTGCAAAAATGCCCAAAGATATTTGTATAGGGATGTTCAATACTGCATTGTTGATAACAGTGAAAAACAATAAAAAAGATCTAGTAAGAGGGGACTAGTTTAATCACCATGGAATAACCACACTATGGAATTCTAGGTAGTCAGGCTATATGTATTCATTGGAATAATTACATCCTATTGTTGACTGAAAAAAATCGGGTCATTATATAATTCCATTTACATTTTAAAAGATGTGCATTTGGAAAAGGTACATACCAAATACAAGATATTGCCTGCCTCTAAGGGGAGAGGATGGATGAAACAAGACAGACTATGGGGTGGTGGAGAGGGGTTTAACTCGATTGATTGTTTTCTTTCTTTTTTTTTTTTTTTTTTTTGAGACGGAGTCTCGCTCTGTCGCCCAGCCCAGGCTGGAGTGCAGTGGCGCGATCTCGGCTCACTGCAAGCTCCGCCTCCCGGGTTCACGCCATTCTCCTGCCTCAGCCTCCCGAGTAGCTGGGACTACAGGCGCTCACAACCGCGCCCGGCTAATTTTTTGTAATTTTTAGTAGAGACGGGGTTTCACCGTGGTCTCGATCTCCTGACCTTGTGATCCGCCCGCCTCGGCCTCCCAAAGTGCTGGGATTACAGGCGTGAGCCACCGCGCCCGGCCCGATTGTTTTCTTTCTTAACCCAGATGGTGGTATATGACAGCCTATTATTTTCTCCTTTTTATCTTCCTGCATGTTTGAAATATGTGTTACATGCAAGAATGCATGCAGAAATTGGGTCTGAAAGGATACAAAGGAAACCAATAACTAGAGTTATTTTGGGGGCAAAACTATAAGGCATAGTTTGTAAATTTTCTGCCTTGTACACATCTATATCATTTGAGTTTTACATAATAAGTACTTACCACTTTTATAATAAAAATGAACTAAAATAAAATTGCCAATCTGTATAAACACCTCTATTTTTCTACGATTATTTAAGGAAAACTGGACCAGAAGTACCACAATAGCAGGAGTAGATTACTATCATGAGACCAAAGATGATAGAATGTCTCTGCAATGGAGCCCAGCTTACTTATTATAAGTCTTTTCAGTCTGGTCACATCATGATAGGTATAGAAAAGCAGGCAGTGAGATATTTCCCCATCTCTTCCAGCTCTGCCAGATTCTTGGTAGTAACCCTCCATAGATTTAGGGAGAGATGCATGAATCACAAATCGCACATCCGGTTTGTCAATCCCCATTCCAAATGCAATTGTCGCACAGATAACCTGATATAAAAGCAAAAGCTTATTAGATTCATAAAGCACAGACTTGAAGGAACATTTTTAATAACAGATGCTTCTAAAAGCTCTATCATTTGTTTACTTTAAAATGCACACTACATAACAACCTAATAACTTAACTTGGTCCCACTATTTAGTATAACTAATATGAGTTTTTATATTGATAACCTGCAATTCCATTAAAACCCAAGAAGGTAAAGAGAAGCTTAGCATGGCAGGCACTTTCTTGTATGACTCGGCATTCTCGTGTAAGAGAGCCAGAATCAACTGCAGTCAGCCCACGATGTGCTGCCACTGTTCTCTGTTTTTGCTACTGAGGTGTGGGGGGTATTGCTCACACAGTCATGATATCCAGGTCACTGATCATAAGCAACATGTTGCTCAGGAGCTCCAGGGTGTTCCCAGGGCTCCTCAGAGGTCATTGCTGCTAGTTCCTCCAATGGCTCAGGAACAATGCGTTCTTACCTGCTCCACTGCTTATCATCAGTTTTCCCAATGGCACCAGCTGATCACACACCAACTCCTTCGATTCATCAGCTGATTTCAAGTCAAAGCTTGTACAATTTTAATGGAAACTCATGTGGGTAAAAGTCTGAGAGCTACTTATACCAAAAAAAGGAAAAACACCAGGAACTGTGGATCTTAGCCCATACAAATTACTTAGTGGAAGCAAGGTGATAGTTCACTTTCAGGAGCTTGACAAATCAGTTTTCAAGGATATCCATTTCAGTTGCAAATTTAGGAGCTATTTAACCCAGACCAAAATGTTATATCTCCAGGCAAAATTACATTTCACAAATAAAACGGCAAGTTTTTTTTAGCACTTAAAAAAATGAATTGCTACTGCAAGAACAGTATTTCAAAGGCATCTGAAGTATGTGGCAGGCAGACTGAGGCTAATGACATGATTTCAGTAACTGTGAGTACCAGTAGAAGGAACTGCAAGCTCTGGAGTATGTGGACAGTAAAGGGGTACATTTATCAACACGAGGAATGGCGGTGAGTGGCCTGTGCTCTCGGTTAGTCATCTATCTACATTTATGGCACTCTGATCAAAGGCAAATCTCCTTGGAAACAGAAAGACTACTGTAGCTTCTAGTGATGGAGAGCAGGTGGAGAGGCTGCACAGCAAGATGTCAGCCGAAAGGTCCGGAAGCATGACCCACAGGGTTCCATGAAGTCCAGGTGCATCTCCCACTATCAGGGCGGGCACAGGGCTGTGAGGCACTGCCTGCAGCCTCCAGGTGAAGATGCAATGCTGCCAACTCTTTCTGAAAGCTCTTATTTCTTGAAATTGGGAAAAGTGGCTTTAATTGTGATTTCCTTTTTTATTTCTGTGCTTTTAAAACTTCAAACCACATCATTCTTTGTGAAGAATAATGGCCAAGTTTTATTCTATTTGTTAGATTCTCATGAATCTAACAAGATCAAGTCTGTCGAGCTGGTGTAGGCTAATATTATATTCTGACTGTAAGGATTAATTAGTCTGAGAGCAGAAATGATTAGATTTTTATAAACCCCTATTTTTAAACCATATTTTTCATCAAAGTTATATGTATATCTCCACTGTAGATTATTTATACTATATATAACAATTTAAAGCACTTGAAAAAAATCATTTTTTTTTTTTTGAGAGAGTCTCAGTCTGTTGCCCAGGCTGGAATGCAGTGGCGCGATTTTGGCTCACCGCAACCTCCACCTCCAGGGTTCAAGCGATTCTCCTGCCTCAGCCTCCCGAGTAGCTGGGACTACAGGTGTGCACCAGTATGCCAGGCTAATTTTTGTGTTTTTTTGTAGAAACAGGGTTTCACCACATTGCTTGGGCTGGTAGCGAACTCCTAGGCTCAAGTGATCTTCCCACCTTGGCCTCCCAAAGTGCTGGGATTACAGGTGTGAACTACCATGCCTGGCCCTTTCCTGAAAACTTTTTCCTTATCATATATTGTTTTACATGTTTTCTGGTCAGTTCTGTCCCACTGATCTGCCTATAATGTATTGCAAACTAGTGTTCCTGCGTTATTAGTTGTTTTGTTTTGTTTTTCCAAACTCTTATTTTCATTTGAATATTCTTCCAGGCAAACTTTAGAAAAAGTTTATCAAACGGTGGGGGGGGCGGGGGGGGGGCGCGGAAACACTGGCATTTGGGTTAAAATATAAACTAATTTGGGAAGACTGAAATCAGTATTTCAGTGAAGACAAATCAGTGATATATTTCTGAACTTTTTGCATATCTGAAAATGACCTTTCATAATGAGCTGGGTATGAAATTCTTCAGTCCCAGTCTTCCTTCTTCCAATTCTGAAGACAGTCTTCTATTATTTTTGTTATATATTTGTTATGTATTTATTTATAACGCACTTATCTGTTTCAATTATCCTGTTTTCTTGCTTGGGTACACTCACTGTTCTTAGGCTGAATCCTTACCTCCTTTTGTCAACAAAGATAATTTCTACCCCCATCCCCTTTTAATCTCTTTTTTCCCTTGCATTCTCAAGTTATTCACTACATCACTGATTCTATTGTCTCCACTGAGTCATTCCATTTGTGTCTTAATATATAATTCTGCTCTTAGTTTTGTTTTTCTTATTTGGATAAACCGAATTTTTCTTTCTTTTTTTTTTTGAGATGGAGTCTCGTTTCTGTTTCCTAGGCTGGAGTACAGTGGCATGATCTCAGCTCACTGCAATCTCCGGCTGCTACGTTCAAGTGATTCTCCTGCCTCAGCCTCCCGAGTAGCTGGGACTACAGATGCCCACTACCTCATCTGGCTAATTTTTGCATTTTTAGTAGAGAAAGGGTTTCACCATAGTGGCCAGGCTGGTCTCAAACTCCTGATCTCAGGTGATCCGTCCACATTGGCCTCTCAAAGTGCTGGGATTACAGACGTGGGCCACTGCACCTGGCCATAAACTGGATTTTTATTTCTCCCTTCATCTCACCCTGCGATCTTCTTATGGAAGTTGTTGCTAGTTCATGTATTTCAAGTCTTCTTATATCTTTCTCAGGATACTAAACTGATATCCTCTAAAATTTTGTTTTCCCAGAGAAAACAATTTTGAGAGATATTTTTCCTCTGAATCTTCAAAGTAAATACTTTTTCCTACACCAAAACTTTTCATTGGCTTCAAGTAATTATTAGTTGTTTTGCTCAAATTCATCCTTACATTTAGAGGGATCTATCCAAGGCTGGCATTCATCACAATAAGAGATGCCTAAAGTATTCTCAGTATTTCCTCCCCACCCACCTGGGTGATGGAAAATTTCTCATCTCAGAAACAGATGCCCAATATTGTTAGTTACTAGGGAAATGCAAATCAAAACCACAAAGAGGGCCAGGCACGGTGGCTCACACCTGTAATCCCAGCACTTTGGGAGGCTGAGGTGGGCGGATCATGAGGTCAGGAGTTTGCGACCAGCCTAGCCAATATGGTGAAATCCCATCTCTACTAAAAATACAAAAATTAGCTGGGTGTGGTGGCACATGCCTGTAGTCCTGGCTACTTGGGAGGTTGAAGTAGGAGAATTGCTTGAATTGGGAGGTGGAAGTTGCAGTGAGCCAAGATCGCGCCACTGCACTCCAGCCTGGGTGACAGAGCAAGACTCTGTCTCAAAAAAGAAAAAAACCCCACAAAGAGATGCCATTTCCCACCCACAAGGATGAACACATTAAAAAAGCTGGACAGTAAAAAATATTGGCGAAGATGTGGAGACACTGGCACCTCATACATTGCTGGTGAGAATGCAGAACTGCAGAGCCACTTGGAAAAGCAGTTTGACAGTTCCTCTAAAAGTTAAAGAGTTGCCATTTGACCCAGCAAGTCCACTCCCAGGTGTCTACCCAAGAGAACTGAAAGCATATGTCCATGGAAAAACTTGTACATGAATGCTCACAAAGCCATTATTCATAGTAGTCAAGAAGCAGAAACACACCGGGGATGGTGGCTCACACCTATAATTGCAGCAATTTGGTAGGTTGAGGCAGGAGTATCACTTGAGTCCAGGAGTTCAAGACCTGGCTGGACAACACAGGGAGACCTCGTTTATACAAAAAATAAAAAAAATTAGCTGGGCATAGTGGTGCACCTGTGGTCCTAGCAACTTGAGAAATGGAAGGATTGTTTGAGGTATGGTCTGGAGTAAGCAGAGGTCATGCCACTGCACTCCAGCTCTGAATGAAAGAGTAAGACCTTGTCTCAAAAAAAAAAAAAAAAAAAAAGAAAGAAAGAAAGAAACAAGCCAAATGTCTAACCAGCTGATGAGTAGATAAACAAACTGTGTTATATCCATATAACAGAATATTATCTGACCATAAAAAGGTATGAAGTACTTATATATGCTAAAATATGAATAAATCTTGAAAAACTTATGCTAAATAAAAGCAAACAGACTAGGCAAGGTGGCTTGTGCCTATAATCCCAGCAATTTGGGAGGCTGAGGCAGGTGGATCACTTGAGGCCACGAGTTCGAGATCAGCCTGGCCAACATGGCAAAATCCTGTCTCCACTAAAAATATTAAATACAAAAATTAGCCGGGCATGGTGGTGCGTGTCTGTAATTCCATCTACTCAGGAGGCTGAGGCAGGAGAATCATTTGAACCTGGGAGGTGGAGGTAGAAGTAAGTTGAGAGTCCTCCACTGCACTGCAGTCTGGGAGACAGAGCGAAACTCTGTCTCCGGAAAAAAAAAAAAAAAGAAAAGTTACAAAGACTACATATTGTATGATTCTATTTACATGCAATGTACAGAGTAATAAACTCTAGAAACAGGTTAGTAGTAGTTAGTAGATTCGTGGTTTCCAGGCATTAGGGGGTGGGGGAAGCGAGTGGGTATGAGGTTTCTTTTTATGGTGATCAAAAATTCTGGAATTAGATAGTGATGATGATTGTACAACTTTGCAAATATAGTAAAAAGTACTAACTTATTTGCTTTGAAAGGATAAATTTTATGATATGTGAATTATATCTCAAGCAATACTTTTTTATGAAAGAAAAAGCAACTTTAGAAGTATCAAAGGAAAATCCGTTTTTAAATTTCAGTCTTATTTTGATGTTTACTACCTTCAAGGTAAAAGTTTGCATTCTACACATGCATGTTTGGTTATATGCTATAAAATATTATTTCTATTACTTGTTTATCTTTAAAAATGTTACCTGACAGCCATCCTGATTAATCCACTTCTGCTGCACTTCATCTCTGGCAGAATCACTGAGGCCAGCATGGTAAGCAAGAGCAGCAAGCCCATCTCTCTGTAATGTGTCGGCCATGGTGTCACATTCTCGCCTGGAGAGGCAGTAAATTATCCCTGAGTCATCTGCCAAGAAACCAAGAGTACTGAGAAACAAGAATTTTTAACATAAACAACAACACAATTTACACTATGTTTTTAGAAATACTTGAACCATAAATAGATCTCCCATAGTGTTCTTATACTGCTGGAAGACCACACACGTGAATAATTCAAGCAAGGAATTCATGTGCACTGGAAATGAGATGTGGCTTTTCATCCTGTTGCTGCTAATGACACGTGAGTTGGACCTGGACGAACTCTGGGTTCTACTTCACACTAGATACATGTGGGCATCAAAAAGCCACCCTTGGTCGGGCGAGGTGGCTCATGCCTGTAATCCCAGCACTTTGGGAGGCCAAGGAGGGCAGATCATTTGAGGTCAGGAGTTCAAGACCAGCCTGGCCAACATGGCGAAACCCTATCTCTGTTAAAAATACAAAAAAAATTAGCCAGGTGTGGTGGTGGGCGCCTGTAATCCCAGTTAGTCAGGAGGCTGAGGCAGGAGAATCACTTGAACCTAGGAGGCAGAGGTTGCAGAGAGCCAAGATTGTACCACTGTACTCCAGCCTGGAGATAGAGACTCAGCCTCAAAAAAAAAAAAAAAAAAAGCCATCCTTGCAAAACTTCAAACTTTAAAAATCACAAAGATTTTAATAGCAACATTAGGGAAATAAGTAAAGGGAACTGTGAAATAAAACATACTATAACTATCAAGTGTTTTCTAAATTTTTAAAAGACATGGGAAAATGCTCATGATATAAAGTAGATTAATACTGGAAATTAATAATAACATGATAACAGTGATTTTGCTCATTGAATGATGTTTGTCTTTTGTTTCTTCTTTTTGTTGCTTTCTAAATTTTCTTTTTTGTTTTTTGAGACAGTCTTGCTCTGTCGCCCAGGCTGGAGTGCAGTGGCACGATCTCAGCTCATTGCAACCTCTGCCTCCCGGGTTCAAGCAGTTCTTCTGCCTCAGCCTCCAGAATAGCTGGAACTACAGGTGTGTGCCACCATGCCTGGCTAATTTTTATAGAGGTGGGGTTTCACCATTTTAGCCAGGCTGGTCTTGAAATCCTGACCTCAAGTGATCCACCCACCTTGGCCTCCCAAAATGCTGAGATTACAGGTGTGAGCCACAGTCCCTGGCCATCTAAATTTTCTTTTTTTTTTTTTTTTTTTGAGACGGAGTCTCGCTCTGTCGCCCAGGCTGGAGTGCAGTGGCCGCATCTCAGCTCACTGCAAGCTCCACCTCCCGGGTCTACGCCATTCTCCTGCCTCAGCCTCCCGAGTAGCTGGGACTACAGGCGCCCGCCACCTCACCCGGCTAGTTTTTTGTATTTTTTAGTAGAGACGGGGTTTCACCGTATTAGCCAGGCTGGTCTCGATCTCCTGACCTTGTGATCCGCCCGTCTCGGCCTCCCAAAGTGCTGGGATTACAGGCTTGAGCCACCGCGCCCGGCCTAAATTTTCTTTAATGAGCATGTATTATATTTATTATTATGTGTGTGTGTGTGGTTTTCTTTTTTTTGAGACGGAGTCTCACCCTATCACCCAGGCTGGAGTGCAGTGGCGTGATCTCGGCTCACTGCAACCTCCGCCTCCCAGGTTCATGCCATGCTCTCGCTTCAGCCAAGTAGCTGGGACTACAAGGGCCCGCCACTACACCCGGTTAGTTTTTTTGTATTTTTAGTACAGACGGGGTTTCACTGTGTTAACCAGGTTGGTCTCGATCTCCTGACCTCGTGATCCTCCCATATTGGCCTCCCAAAGTGCTGGGATTACAGGCGTGAGCCACCACGCCTGGCCATGTGTGTTGTTTTTAGAAATGGAAATTAAAAGATATTAAAGGAAAAGTCATCTCTCTGTGACTGAGCCAAAGGTCTAGATATACACGTGAAGCTACTGACATTAGCTGCCTGGGAGAGGTGGGCCTGAGCAGGGAAATCACTGACTTTTTCTTGGTGGATCTCTACTGACTGATTTGTCCACACAAACATGTATATTAATTTCTAAAAAATAAAATAGAAATACCAAAAATATTCTCCATGGAAAAGTGGAAAGGGGGTTACATGGAAAACTACTATGAATTCAGAATCTCATTTTAGTTAGTAAAACTCAAAGGCAGGCAGGCTTGGGACAAGGAACTAAAACAAAAAGCTGTATAATTCAAACACTGATTGAAGCCTCAGGAAAGACATTGAAACCAAAAGTTATAATACACGTGTGCAGGAGGGAGTATTTAATATATTTTTGTTAGAATTTCTTGTTATCAAACCAAATGAGATTTTACAATTTCCAGAATTGAGAGAGTTGCAATAGTCTGCTCTATAAATAGCAAGTTAGTGCTGTCATAATGCAAAAAGGAACGTTTAATATGCAATTTTATATATCCTATTGTGGTACTAAAAAGACATTTATTTGTTACTTCTAGACAGTTAATCACATGGCTGTACTCACATGGGTAGTGTTTTCTGATCCATTCTAGGCAGTCAAATGCCACCTTTTTAGGCTTTTTCGGTAATACATAGTATTTCAGATTATGTCTGTTAAAGCTCATGCTAAACCTAAAAAAGTCCCAAACATAAAATTTAGTTATTATAAGAAAGTATAACTTTCGGTATTGTTATAGACTACATGTGTCCCCCTAAAATCCTAACCCCCAATGTGATAGTATTAGGAGTTGGAGCCTTTGGGAGATAATTAGGTCATGAGAGGTGGAGTTATGAATGAGGTAAGTGCTCAAAAATAAGCAGAGACCTCGCTGGCTCTCCCCACCCTCATATGTGAGTATACAAAGAGAATACTGCCATTTACAAACCAGGAAGAGGGACCTCATCTGACATGGGATCTGCCAGCATCTTGATCTTGGACTTCCTGGCTTTCAGAACCATAAGAAATAAATTTTTGTTTGAGCCACCCAGTCTACAGTATTCTGTCATAGCAGCCCAAGCTAATATCAAGTAGTTTTTTTTTTTTTTTTTTTTGAAACAGTCTCACTCTGTCACCCAGGCTAGAGTACAGTGGCGCGATCTTGGCTCACTACAACCTCTGCCTTCTGGGTTCAAGCCATTCTCCTGCCTCAGCCTCCCAAGTAGCTGGGATTACGGATGCCCGCCATCGCGCCCGGTTAATTTTTGTATTTTTAGTAGAGACAGAGTTTCACTGTGTTGGCCAGGCTGGTCTCGAACTCCTGACCTCAAGCAATCCACCCGCCTCAGCCTCCCAAAGTGCTGGGATTACAGGCATGAGCCACCGGGCCCAGCCTATCAAGTAGTCTTCAGTTGAATACTGTCATTAGCAGCTTACATGATAGAACACTGAAATGGAAGTTAGGCTAAGGGTTAAAGAAAAGAATGGTGATAAAGAGGGAATGTTTATGGGACTAGATGACAAAAAATTAGGATTGTAGAAGAGAAAACACATAGAAAAGACAAAGTAAGCAGGAGCCCAGTCTCTTGACTCCAAGATGAGGCTGACTATAAGCAGAGATGGTTAGAATATTATTTAAAATATTAAGGAACTCATACAAGAAATACACTTTTTTTTTTTTTGAAACGGAGTCTCGCTCTTTGGCCCAGGCTGGAGTGCAGTGGGGCGATCTCGGCTCACTGCAAGCTCCACCTCCTGGGTTGAAGCCATTCTCCTGCCTCAGCCTCCCAAGTAGCTGGGACCGACAGGCGCCTGCCACCACACCTGGCTAATTTTTTATTTTTAGTAGAGACGGGGTTTCACTGTGTTAGCCAGGATGGTCTTGATCTCCTGACCTCGTGATCCACCCGCCTTGCCCTCCCAAAGTGCTGGGATTACAGGCGTGAGCCAACGCACCCGGCTGGAAATATGCGTATTTTTAGGCCATCAATATTCCCAAATTTTGACCAGGTACTCAAGCTCATCCAACCCGCAGCCCGCAGGCCACATGCAGCCCAGGGTAGTTTTGAATGTGGCCCAACACAAATTCATAAGCTCCCTTAAAACAGTGAGATTTTTTGCAATTTTTTAATAAAGCTCATCAGCTATTGTTACTGTTAGTGTATTATTATTATTTTTTTGAGAGGGAGTCTTGCACTTGTCACCCAGGCTGGACTGCAAGGGTGCAATCCCAGCTCACTACGACCTCCATCTCCTGGATTCAAGCACTTCTCCTGCCTCAGCCTCCTGAGTAGCTGGGATTACAGGTGCCCGCCACCACGCTCAGCTAATTTTTGTTATTTTTAGTAGAGACGGGGTTTCACCATGTTGGCCAGACTCATCTCGAACTCCTGACCTCAGGTGATCTGCCCACCTCGGCCTCTCAAAGTGCTGGAATTACAGGTGTGAGCCACCGCACCCAGCCAGTTAGTGTATTTTATGTGTGGTCCAAGACAATCCTTCTTCTTCCAATATGGCCCAGGGAAGCCAAAAGATTGGACACCCCTGGGATATATAAAGAGCTAACTGCAGGACAGCAGAAGTTGCTAAAGCCCTACTGATCATGGTCACTTTATTTTTGTTCTTGACCCCAAATAAAATGTGGCTAACTCTGAGACAGATGGGCTCCTCCTCTTCCTCTGATCTACTATTCTTGTCCCATTTCCTCCCTCCCACTTCCTCAGTGAGCTTGTTCTCTCCATTATCTCCTCTTTTGTATTTTCAGTCTGTTCTGTGAATTTTTCTTCTGTCTCTGAATATGTTCTAGGACCACCCTTTCCAACAAAAGCCTCTGTTGATCTATCTTCTAATCAACTTGTCTCTTTTCCTCCAATGGCAAGTTTCTCAGAAGATACTTATGTTCCCAACCAACTAACTACACATTCAATTTCAATTATCATTATTTTCTATTCTCAATTTTGCCTCTACAATTCTACCAATTTTTTTTCCAAGGCTTTTAAAACTAAAGAAAGGTGACAGAATTGTTATAGGGTCCTGCCCTCCAGGTACCTCCACTGCTCCACATTTCAACTATATCCAACCCACAGGAGGAGAGAGAACACTGTGGAACATGGTAAGGATAGAGCACAAAGACATCTCCATGCCTTGGTAGACAGAAGAAAAGATCATAAACTGCAGTAACCTGTGTCGCGGGGGCTGCCTATATACAGGATCAGAGGAAGAAAAGATGAGGAATAAAACCACTGGCTTTCTGTTTTTGCATCTAAATCCAACTAGATGGGCCCACACAATAGGCAGCAGTGATCTTGCTGCATTTGGTATATGCAAAGATGGGTCTTCTTTCAGACTTCAGTCTCTCTGGCCTCTCTGTATTCTACCTTTTTTTTTTTTTTTTTTTTTTGAGACCGTCTCACTCTGTCCCCCAGGCTGGGGTGCAGTGGCATGATATCGGCTCACTGCAACCTCTGCCTCCCAGGTTCAAGCAATTCTCCTGCCTCAGCCTCCTGAGCGGCTGGGACGACAGGCACTCACCACCACGCCCATCTAATATTTCATATTTTTAGTAGAAATGGGGTTTCACCATGTTGGTCAGGCTGGTCTTGAACTCTTGACCTCAGGTGATCCTCCCGCCTCAGCCTCCCAAAGTGCTGGAATTACAGTTGTGAGCCACCGCGCCTGGCCTGTATTCTACATTGTTGGCTACCCTTAGTGAAAATTCTCTATTATGTCTTACAACTTTATATTCTCATGGGATTTTCTCCCTTGCATCTCTGGTTTCTCCACTTCCACCTCTTCTTCCTTTGCTCACTCCTTAAGTGAGAATCACCCCACAGACATCTGGCTCTCTTCTCTTCTCTTCCATCATCTCCTTCAGCACTCTCACTGCCTTAAACAGCACCCAAATTTCAGTCCCATGTGTCCCAGCTTTTGCCCTCACCTTAGACCTCTTTTCAGAGTTCTAAACCACAATTCAATATCTTTTTAGACCAGTGGTCTAAAATTGGGAAGCATACATTCCTAGGGGTTCACAAAGACTTTCTGTGTATACATGAGCAAAGATAGTCTTAAACAAATTCAGACCCTCAATTTTCGCATCCCTTGGTTTCCCACGGGGGATTGGTTCTAGGGCCTCCTCGGATACATAAATCCAAGGATGCTCAAGTCCCTGATATAAAATGGTGTAGTATATGTATATAACCTATGCACATCCTCCTGTATATTTTAAACCATCTCTGGATTACTTATAATACTCAATACAATGTATTAAATAAATGCCATCTAAATAGTTGCTACACTGTACTGTCAGTAATTATGTAACACTTTTCTTCTGTCATGGCGGCAGGATACAGCAGAGTATGCCTACACATCCCTTCATTCATGTGGACACAGCATAGCACTTGGTGCTCAGCAAATTCGAATCTTGCATTTTGAAACTTTCAGAAACTATTTTTCTTTCAAATGTGTTTGATATACAGTTGGGTGAATCTGCAGATGCAGAAACTGTGGATACGAAGGGCTGGCTGTCCTTTTCCCTAAGACTGATCTGAGAATGCTCCCACAGACAAGACATCCTGGCCAGGGGCGGTGGCTCACATCAACAATCTCAACATTTTGGAAGGCAAAGGCAAGAGGATCACTTGTGCGCAGCAGTTAAAGACCAGTTGGGCAATAAAGTGAGACTCCTGTCTCTATTTAAAAAAAAAAGACATCCTGGCTGGGCGCGGTAGCTCACGCCTGTAATCCCAGCACTTTGGGAGGCCAAGGCGGGCGGATGACAAGATCAGGAGTTCGAAACCAGCCTAACCAACATGGTGAAACCCTGTCTCTACTAAAAATACAAAAACTGGCCAGGCATGGTGGCACATGCCTGTAATCCCAGCTACTCAGGAGGCTGAGGCAGGAGAATCCCTTGAACCCGAGAGGCGGAGGTTGCAGTGAGCCGACATCACGCCACTGCATTCCAGCCTGGGCAACAGAGCGAGACTGTCTAAAAAGAAAGAAAGAAAGAAAGAAAAAAGACATCCTGCTTGTTTCACCTTTCCCATTTTTCCCTTTTACAATTGTCTCACTTTCTGAAAACAAACAAACCAATCCTACTTTTCATCCATTCTGAATTTTACCACTGTGCACTGTTCCAGGATGTAAAAACCTCCAGGACACCAAACAAAGCAAATTGAAATATAGTATGGGTGTAGGTGAAATTTTCTTTAATTAAAGCACTAGAAATCCTTGGTAGGAGGGCCTCATATCTTTAGGTGTTTTACTTATTTCTGTTAAGGGTGAAGAGTAACTAGGAACAAAGTATTTTGGCCCTTATTAGGATGTTCTGAATTCAGATATACTGAGAATAAGGCGGTGGGAATGAAGATGGCCTTCACTTCATGATGTTGTTTCTTTCATCTCTATAATCACAGAATGCATTACCCTGAAAGTCTTTGAGACTACCATTAAAAAATACTTTGATACCACTTCTCTTATGACAGCATTTCTTTGCAAAAAACACCTAGAGTCCTTTTAGTGCTTGAAAAGGAAGAATGTATAGCAGACTGTGGCAAAAAAGGTAGTAGATTTAAGAACTGTCTAGGAATACAAATGATAAAGAAATTCTTAAAATTTATTTGACTCGATTTGGAAATGGTGCATGAGTCTCCCCACCGATAGGAATGCTATTGTGACTAGGCACAACAATGGCCTT